AAGACCAAGGTGTTGGCATAAAGAATGTCTGATGGGGCCCATTTCCTGGTACATAGATGGCACCTTCATGTTGATGGTAGAAGGGGTGAGGGAGCTCTCTGGGGCCTCTTCCATAAGAATTCTAATCTCATTTATGAAGGTTCTGCCCTCATCACCTAACCACCTCCCAAAAGGTTCCACCATCACCTTGAGAGTTAGAATTTCAACATATGAATTTTGGGGAGATGCAAATATTCAGACCATAGCTCTTACATTATGTGTCAAGGTCCAATCCTGGATTACAGAATCACATTTGGGTATACCAACATGATAGCCATCCTGAGGGATGTATACAGACATGCTTTGACTTGAGAAGATTCTGAAGGTCAGTGATATCACACACACACATCTGCTGAGAACATGGCTCTTCTTGAGAAGAGAGTTTTGCTACTTGGAGCCACAGCATTAACCACACCCTGACTGGAGTGGACATCTGTCACGTTCATGGCGTCTCATCAACTCATGAGTAGCTTTTCCATATTTGAGGATATTCTCATGTCATCAGTCCCACCTCCCCGGTATTGAAGTTAGAGTTCAAATCAGAGTTTCCACATGTCTTTGCAGCTAGGATTCAGGCATGTGATCTGAGCGCTGATACCCCCACTTGAGGTTTAAGTCAGAAGAGAGAAGCAGGAAGAAGCAGGCAGTGCATGGAGCTTTCATTTTTGCTGGCATAGACAGCAGCAGAGGCAGTGGTGAGGTTTGGTTCCCAACTCAAAAGTGGCATCAGTGGTGGTGGTACGAGTGGCTGCAGTAAAGTCAAGTTCCTGATATCTAGTGCTCAGTTGCAGTACTGACACAGCACAGTTTAAGACATCATTCCTGGAAACTTAACCTCAAATTTGTTTCCCAGCCCTCCAAATTATTGTTTGTCCTGGAAACTTTACCTCAAATCCATTTCCCAATTCTCCAAATTATTGTTGGTCCTTCAGTTTCCTTTAATAAATCCCATCCACCTCAGCTAGTCATAATGGATTCTGTTGTCAGCAACTGACAACCCATTTGATGTGCTAGGTAAGCCAGGAATACCTGACCATGAATCAGCCATTCCTACAAGAGACAGCATTGGCCTGGACCTCGTCTATCATTTCCTTCTTGAGTCAAGTACAAGGAAGAATGGAAGGAAAGTGTCCTTTCCCCCTGACTTCCACTGTCCCAGGAGCTCATACAGAACAAGAGTGCTCTTCACTAAATTTTTATAACCAACAATTTGTGCAGGGCTTAGCACAGAGTAGAAATTCAGCAACTGTTTGGTGAAACAGCAAATGAATGAATGACTGAATGATCGAGTACACTATAAAGTTATAGCCACCTGATCCTTAATCCAGACCCATGATGTTCATTTATGGTACCCACTAGCTGCAAATAGCTACTAAGCACTTGAAATGTGGCTAGTGCAACTGATGAACTGAATTCTTATTTTATTTCAGTTAACTTAAATTTTAAAACAGATATTGCATTCCATGTTTGGAAAATGTTTAAGTCGCTTAATTTGTGTATGTAAATGTACTTTTTCAGCTGTAAATTTCATGAAAACTAAATACAGGTCAAATATTTCCAATGAAAAGTTAGCATTAAAATTAGGATGTGCTGTCATTGTAAAGTATACACCAGATTCCAAATACTCAATGTGGAAAAAACGCAAAATATGCCATTAATTTGATATTGATTACCTTTGGAAATAATATTCTGGATATGTTAGGTTAAACAAAATGTATTATTAAAGTTGACCTCACCTGCTTCTTTTTAAATTTTTTACATGACTATTAGAAAATGTAAATATATATATGGGCTCTTCCTTATATTTCTGTTGAACAGTGCAGATCTGGACATTACTACACATGCCACTCAGCAAAAAGAAAAGTCAAAAGGGATGTTGAGGACATGTATTACCTCTGAGCACTGAAAGCTCAAATCCTACAGACCCAGGCCTGACTTTACCCTCCCATCTCTCCTGTCCCCACTCCCCAGACTCTAAACCCAAGAGGAAGAAGTTTAGAGATGGACCTCTACCACATGCATGAGAGCAGAAGTCACAAATTTGGTGTTCTGGGGGCAGGTACACGTATCAGGGAAAAGACTGTAGGTAAGACCACAAGCAGTGATCAACTGTTCTATTTAAAGGCAATACAAAAAGAAAAAAATTCCCAAGTGGATGTTCCTTGGGTTGCCAGTGTGCCACCTCTGCACAGGTCTATAACATCAAAGTCCCCTGGATAGTTTCTCATATGGTAGCCTCATTCCAAGGGTGAAGATGTTGCCAGAGAGGAGGTCTTTTTAACAGAGAGAGAGAGAGAGAGAGAGAGAGCTTAACTCTTACAGGGTTCTTGATTTTGCCGCAGGAAAGAATTCCAGAGCAAATCACCAGATTGGCAAGCAGAGTAAAGTTTATTAAGACAAAAGTACACACTTAAAGGGAAAGGGGAGTGGGGGCAGGCAGTCGCAAGAGGAAAGCTGCCTTGAGGAAAAAAGAGTACACACTCCAAAGGAGGGGAATGCAGACAGTCTCAAAATAACTGCTCCGAAGGGGTTTTGGTGCCTAACTTTTATCTCCTCTGCTTTGAAGGAGGTGATTGGGAGGGGGTGAGTGAGGGTCATGGAGGCCATGGATTTGTCCTCATTTGGGCATCTGGGCTGTATGATGAACTCGTGTTCCATTTACCATCACTGGTCAGTGACTAAGATGGCAAAGGGCCTGCTTTGCTCTGCTGACTCTAACCTTAAACATCCTGGAGGTGTTTTGCAAATTTTTAGTAACTTGCTTCCTATTTTTTGTAAGATGAAACAGAGGCCACATTTTTCCTACACTTACTAGCCTGCCTTAAAGAGACTAGCCCCCAGAAAGATGAGAGCTGTTCCTGTTAGGGCTAAGTCTCCTGATGCCCACTGGGACATGGCATCTCCCAGCATTAGATGTCAACAAATGCATACCCATTGGGTTTGATTTGAGAAAGGAAAGGTTCGCCCTACAGAAGTCACATAACCTGTACCTACCCCAGGATTTCCAAGCCTCCCTTTGTCAGCACTGGGAAACCATTCTGAGAAATTGGGGTAAAGGTCAGAAAGCATTCTATCCCATCACAGGAATCTCCATGGCTTCTATCGCTACTCCCAAAGATTTGAAATCTTTAAAATGATTTGTTCCAGGGTAGAGACACAAAGATGCCCTTGACTCGTTTGGAGAATGAGGAAGAGATCAGAGAACATGGGAAAACAGTGCCAGGGCTATGGAGAAAAAAGATGGCCTTTGAGGCCCAATTCTGAGCCAAGTAAAAGAAGAAAGGGCCAAGACACCACCCTGAAGCGACTGGCAGCCCCTGGAAGTATAGGTAGGATGGATAAGAAGGGTGGAAGAGGACAAGAGGGACTAAAGAGACAAGGGAGGGACAGAAGGGTCAGCCTCCGCAGTCTTGCTTCCAACAGAAAGGGAAATGAACCCCTTTGATTTACCACGTGAGACCTAGACAATTTTCATATTGGAAGCACAAACTACAACATGCTTCTCCCCAACCCATCTCCATAGGTACAAGTTTGCCAAATAAAATCATTCAATTGACCCACCTGAGCAAAATACAGCTAATAACAAAGAAAGACAACTTTCATATTTTATTATTCATCATAGAAAAAAGCTTTAATATTTTTAAATTAAATACAGAAGCATATTGTCAGTGGTATCAGAGATTGTTTGCCTGCCTTTGAACAAATTAACAACACCTGTTTGCAAACAAAAGCATTGCTAGAATTGAGTCAAACTCTTTGTTCTCTTTTCAGGACCCAGGCTACTCATCTATTTTGTATACAGTGTCTAACACATAGTAGGTGCTGGATAAATATCTGTTGATTGAATGGGGTGCTCTTTAATCTCTAGCCTTTGTTTCCTGACCCTAAAATGGATCTTGATTCATTCTTAGAGCAGTCTGATCTCTTTCAACAGCCTTTGATACATAACATTGGTTTAGAGACACTTGCCTAAGGGGAATGACTGAGGGTTTCAGAGAGAGAACAAAACACACAAAGACAGGGCACAGTGACTAGGTAGAAACAAAAAAGATGCTAAGACAGAGAGTAACAGAACGAGACAGAGTCAAAGAGGGAGCAACTGTAGGAGATAGGGACAGAAAAATGAAATCAGAGAGACTTAAAACTCACACAGTTGGAGCTGAAGAGCTAAAAGGTTTGGGTGAGAATCATGAAGTTTCTGCTTAGGTGTAATGTCTTGTGATAGAGATAATGACAGCCAGGTATGCATGCCCATCTCCATCTCTAGATCTGGCCCTGAACATTCATCCTACCCTCACTTCACACCCATGGGGCTGGTCTCCCATGCTCACTCCCGGCTCCTGTCTTACGTCCAGCCCACACCCCCACCTAGAGATCTCTGAACCACTCTGCAAGTCCAAATCCTCTCTACCCGACATCCTCTGTGAGGCATTCTCACTGCTCTAGCCCACATTCAGCTCCTCCTCTCTCTAAAGCAGAGACAGTTTACACCACACCTGCATCCCCTAACCACAGGGCAGATGCTGTTTTACAGTTTGCCATCAGTTCTTATGAGCGCATCTTGCCACCTGGAAAGAACTGCAAGCTTGTCAAAGCTCCTGACCCTACCTCATACATTCCCGTATTCTCCATGATTGCAGCCCGGTGCTGGGTCTTACTAGGTGCTCAGTGAATACTTGTGCCTGACCTGTCCCTAAGGAGTGCCCACGGGGAAACCTGACAATCCACTGGTCAGCTTCCAACAGGCTGGCCATGCTGTGGCCATCTCCTTGGCTCCCGCGCCCCCTGCCGGCCGGGAGAGGACTTGCCACGTGGGACAAAGTTCACGGGCCGAAAGGCGGTCCTGAGGCGGGAAGCTGGAGAGGGTTCAGAGGAGGGCAGTGGGCACCGCCAGGAACAGCTGCTGTGTTCATCTGAGGCACGGGGGCACGCCCCCCGACCTCCTCCTGCCCACAGGGCACTCAGAGCTTCTCGTCCAGCTCCAGGGCCTGGTTGTCCCAGGCGCTCCCACGGATGGGGACTGGGCTGCCGCTGTTTGTCCTGCCCAGGTAGTTCTGGATGACGGAGGCGCAGTCCAGCCGCTCCATGACGGTCATGAGGTAGTGCAGCTCCTGCAGGCTGCCGTTCTGCTCCTCAAACAGCTCCAGGATGGCTGCCGCGGGGCTGCGCTGGCAGGATAAGAACCTGGCCCCAGGGAGGAGGGAGGGAGAAGAAGCAGAGAGGAGGGAGCAGGGAGGGGCTCCTCCAGGCGCCCTGACACTGCACAGCTGCGAGATCCACCCTTCCCTCCAACTTCCTGCTCCTGTCCACGTGCTGCTATGCTGGCCTTCCTGGGAAGGTGGGGTGGGAAGCCCCAGGACTTTGAAACCTGAGATTTTTTTGGCTGACAGGCTCACTGACTAGGCCCTACTCACTAGGCCTTAGTGTCCTCTTATGAAGCTGAGGGCTTAAATGACAGGACCTCTAAGGTGACTTCGCTCTGATGTGCTATAATTGCCTTCTCTTCCTCCCCCACCTCAAATAACCCCCCACACCCCAGCGTCCTCACTGCCTCCTTCCACCCTCTCCCAGACCTCAACATCCTTCCTGTCACTAACGCAACAGTTGTCCTAAACCATGGCTTCTTATCTTGATCCTCCCCTGCTCAAAACCCTTCCATATCTCTTAGGCCTACTAGCCAGGTTCAGGTCCTGACTTTCTGGCTCACCTACCACCTGGCCCTGTCCCACTTTTCTGCCCTTTTCTCCCCTCCTCCCATCCTGAACCCCCTTCCTCGGGCCTCTCCATTTCCTGACTTTCACACACCACAGCCACAACCACCCCTGCGGCTGACCCCCAAAAGAATGGCTGGTCTCCTCTCCTCCATCCCCTCCGCAAAGTTCTTTCTAATGCCTACCTCCCAGGTGAAAGAGACCCTCTGCACCCCTCAGTTCAGACTGATGGTCATGACTCCCACAATTCATTATTATTCCTGCTCCTGCTGTTTTCTGGTTCTCTTTTCAACGTGTTATGCGATACTGGACAAGAAGGCCCAGGAGCACTTGCTTCTGAACCCCTTGCTAGGAATGAGGACCATGGCTCATTCACCTTGTATCTCAGTGCTCAGCACAGTTTCCAGGACATAGTAGGTACTTGATAAATGCTTAAATAAATGAATGATTTTAAAACCCACCCTGTTTCAGGATCCAGCTCTAGCCCCATCATATAGATGGAATCATCTCTGACTGCTGCGCTTAATAGTCTGGGTTCTGGTGCAGAATCATTCTCCTACTGATTTCTTCAGAAGTTTTGTAACAGGGATCATGGCTGCACTGCCACTATTACTGCTAACACTTATTGAATTAGCATGTGTCAGGCACCCAGCTATATGCTTTACACCATTATCCTATCATCTGCCATCTTACTCCAGGGCACAGCAGGGCCTGTGTATGCAATGACTTGCATGTTATTTGATCACTGATAAATATTTATTGAGCACCTACCAGGAGCCAGGCATCATTTTAGGCACAGAGGATACAGTGATAAATAAAAAGCCCTTTTAAGGAGAAAGGGGTGGGGAGTAGCCAGTCTCTGACTTCTCAGTCACTCCCTTGTCTGTGGTCTGGTCCCCAGGTTGTCCTGAGAACCCCCCTCCAACCCTGTACATCCCCCTCTCCCATTCACAGACCTTGTCTTCTTACCGAATTTTCATGCCACAGAGCCCTAGGTGGGAGGCCAGCCTGCGCCAGTCATTGCCTGTGATGCTGTTTGGCTCCAACAACATCTGCAGCTGCTCAAAGAGCTCTGGGGGAAGCCTGAGGCAGAAAAAAAGGGTGTTGTTGGAGGAAAGGATCAAAATATCAACATTCCCCAGGCAGCAGCCCAAGCAACCCCCACCTCACCTATTGCATGGGGATGGCTGGGAGACAGGGGGTGGAGCTGCCCAGGATTCCTCCTCTGATGCCTGGAATCTGAGGATTTCCATGTACTTGGTCTCCAAGCCCTGAATCAACAGGGAACACACTTAGGGGTCATAAGACCTCTGAATAAGAAGCTGGGGTCCCACATCCATTCCTCACGTCTTTCCTTCAGCTTGCCACCCAGAGTCACTTCACCAGGAGACACAACCCCCCAACTCCACCAGCATCCTCCACCATCCACCTGCCTCCCTAACCCCAGAACCCCATCTCCAGCCTTAAGTTTGCCCACGGAGCTCTTTGGGAGCTGAGACATGAAGACCAAACAGAGTGCATCCTAAGTCACCAGGAGACGTCCTGGGTTGGGTCACGGGGCAGCAGGCAATCAGCAATAACAGAGATACTGAGTTCAGGTGTGTGTGTCCCCTTCCCTCCTTTCCAGCTTTCCCTTGTTCCTCCTCCCCAAGTGACAACCTCTGGGGGCATTTTTTTATCCTCCACTAACATGTCACTATGGTTCTCCAAAGCCTCTCAACCCTGATCTCTTCACATCCTCCCGTGGTGCAGCGGGAGTAGGGGAGAGATACCCAACTCCCATTTCACCTACTCAAGACCCTCTTCCTGGCCACTCCCCACAATGAAGATACAAAATATCATCTCTCAGACACAGACAATCAACCTAGAAAGATTGTCTCCTTGATGCCCCAGTTTCCCTGAATTAGGAGAAGAGATCGAACTGGGGTTTGGCCCTTTTAACCTCCTGCTGGATTCATCCACTGATAAGAGTTAGGAAGGGATCTTGGAAGCCCAATGGTCTGAGCCCCTCAAAGAGCTGGTATGGCTGCTTGTGAAAAATGCCATCTTCACCTACTTGATTATGTGATTAGGGACATACCTTACTGGGCACCAGACCCTGCACCCACTTTGCCCAGGACTCCCCCCAGGTCCTGCCCTTCCTCTGCCCCTCAGCTCCAACTCACATCCTGGAAGGTGTGCATGGTGACAATGATTTCATTGGTTAGTGCCGAGCAGTCCTCATTCTCACTGGCTATAAAGAGAAGGCGAGAACATGGCAGGTGAGTGAGGAAAAGGTCTGGGTAAGAGCAGAAGTCAAGGGACGCTACAGTAAGACTCGGGGAATCTGAAGAAGTCGAGGACAGACACTCATTTTTTTCTTGCTGCAAAGACTGTGGGGCCCCTGGCCTTCAAGAGAAGGTCTGTGTGTATGGCCACGTGAGGGGCTGCAGGGCCCTAGGGCTACTGGGAGGGGAGAAGGTGGGAAAACAGAGGGCAGGAGATGTGTCAGGGCTCCTGGATTACCTGCTTTTCTCCGGAAGCAGAAGGAGCGGAAGGGGCACTTTCCATGCCAGATGTGGAGATGAGGAACCAGCTGGTAACTGCTGTCATCCACATTCTCCCAACCTGGAGAGGGGCAAGAGCAGAGGGTCTCAGGGAGTGGGGCCTTCCCCGAGTGTTTAAGGGGGTCGTAGGGAGGTATGAGGAAGGAGCAAAGGCAGGAGCATCTCAAGTGGATGGGCATCCCTAGAGCCTGGGCAGGGGACCCCAAGAGTAGCCTTACGTCTACCCCACACACTCTCTCTGCACACAGATCCCCTCCCTCTCATCTCACCCTCCACTCCACCCCCAGAAGCAGCCCTGCACATGTATCCTGGTCAGAACCATACAAGTTGAGCAGACCCCATGGGCAAGTCCAGTGCCCATGCCATAAAGGAAAGAGGACCCAAGCAGAGAAGACTGGGAACGCCTCCTCCTAATACCAGCTCCATCCAGGTGGACAGCAAAAGCTTTCCCATACCCTCTGCTCCTGCACCTCTCCTGCCCACCTCCAACCTGGCATCATCCTGTCCTGGGAGTGGTTGGCAAGGACTGAGTGAGCAGCAGAGTAGATAAGGCCTAGAGACTCCAGAGACAGCATTAATGCCAGGGCCTCTTCTTGAGGCTGCTGACAGCCCAAAGGTCTTAGAAAGAGACTTGAGGTTCCTGAATTTCCAGTCCAGAGGGAGGTCCTGAACCCCTCCTTCTCCTAGGGCTCTCTATTGCCCAATCCCAGGCCCCCACCTCCCTCACCCTCCGAGATGTACTTGAGCTTCAGGCACTGGTCGCCTCTTGTCCCAGTGAAGTCGAAGAGCTGGCAGGGCCCACGCAGACGCCCACTGTGGGGCTGCTCATTGGTCAGGGCCCACTGCAGGGCACAAGGCGTGTTGTTGAGGAAGTAGACACGCAGCTGCAGGTGGGACTGCCCAGGCGCCAGCGGTGAGCAGAATACAGCCAGCTGCAACCATTTGCGAGCCCCACGCCCCGTGGGTGTCTCCAGCACACAGGTATAAAGGCTGCAGAGGGAGCCAGTGACTCATGCACAGGGGATGCTGGGACACTGGTGCACCCACCACCAGTCTCCCCCTGTGTGAGAGCCTCTCTGGGGCCTTCAAGGAGGCTCAGAGAGCACTCTGGGGGGGGGGTGTATTGGAAGGAACTGGTAAGGGGGAGGGATGAAAAACTGAGCAGGAGAGAGAGGGAAGGTGGGTTCGGGGTTGTCATGCTTGGAAGGGCACTGCTCTGGTCAGTGGGTGCCAAGGGGACTGGCAGGCAGAAGACCTAAGACTCTAGAAAGACAGATATAGAAGACAGAGATGGAACAGAGTCTTACAGAACTGGAGGGGAAAAATTCCCCTGAACAGTTTGGGGACAGTCCTGAACAGAGGCACAGGGTATACAGATAATTTTAGAGAGACAAAGTGGAAAAGGAACAGGAGATCCTCCCTAGACAGATGGGTGGGGTTAAGTCAGCCACTTCCAGAGAGGCAGAAAGACAGCAGTGGGATGTCTTTAATGGGGCTAGAATGAGACAATCTGCTATAAACATTAGGATGGAGGGGCCAGAGGGGGACACGGTACACGGGGTATAAGGGATTTGAAGACCATCTCAGACAGGAGGAGTTCTATACAGAGAGAAGGAGGTAAGGGAGACACAGAAATGGGCCAGGAAAGACAGTCCTAGAAAGCCAGGGGCAGGGAGAGCCACATGCCTACCTGAAGTGAGAGAGGTGGATGCGAACCTCGTCCCGGGAGGTGTGGGCCCCTGGCCGCCCCAGGGGCCTCCAGGCCTTGGCATCCAGCAGGGTGGTGTTGCTGCTGTAGGTGCGGGCATGGCTGGGCTGCTGGGCACAGTGTTTGAATGTGAGGGTGCAAGGCTTTAGAAAGGTAGCCCCATGGGGGCCACATGCCACCACAGGGCTGACCAGACCCTGGGCTTGGGACAGTGATGGGGCATCCGACAGGTCCCACACAAGGATCAGAGACATCCGCTCCTGGCGGCCCACGGCCACAGCACCTGGGGAGAGTGAGAGCTGTGATGGGCCTAGCAGGCAGTCATACCCCTGCCCCTGAAAGACACCAGGCCAGAGTGGGAGAGGTGGTGGGTGGGCACCCAAGAGGCAGGAAGGAACAAGAGCAAGATGCCTATGAGCTGACTTATAGTGTGATCAAGCAAGTCACTTCCCTCTCTTGCAGGGTTGCTGCTAACCCGTACCTTGTGGTAATTTGTAAATAGTGCCCTCCTTTCCCTTTCCTGGAAAGTTGTCACAGCATACTGCTTCTTTAGAACAAGGCACTTGACTTCCACCTGCCAGGAAGTTGTCCTAAAAGATCTGGCATATGTTCGTCCTTGGAGTCAACAGATCTTGGCTAAAAATCTAATCCATTTTCAGGATTATGAAGGTGTCTGTGAATGCTGCTCCCTCAGAAATGGTGCCTAGCGTGCCGTCTGAACAACTGGATGTGAGAGGGAATCCAGGAGCTGTTACCTGGCGGGATGAGCAAGGAGATGCCTGTATTCTGGAGCATCAGGCAACCACCACGGTGATCCACCTCTCGAGCTGAAAACACCAGTAGTTTGTTCATCAGCTGGCGGATGACAGTCTGGCCTTGAGTGGGTGTGTGCAGTTCCTGGTAGAAGGCAGCCATCTCCGTCAGTGTGGCTGGTAGGTATTGCCTTGGGGCCTCATTTTCTGGTAGGGGTGTAGGCTGGGGTACTGGGTCCTCTTGGCCATTCGGCTTCCAGCAGGCCCCCAGCAGCCTTCTAGGACAGTGCCATCGGAGGCACTGGGCCAGAAGGAGCACACTTGCCACTGGGAGCCCTACCAGCAGTAGGAACTGGGAGGATTGGAAGGAACTCTCCTGGGGGAACATCCGCCTGGTCACTCAGTGCTGCTGGCTCTCCTTCTCCCTGGTGCCAGCCAAAGCCAAGGGCCTGGGGGGGGAAGTAGGGGTGAGTACCAGGTTAAGCCCTCTTAAGTTGTGGACATCAAGACTTGGCTTTCATGTGGCTGCAATGAGGGTACACGTTGTCTTCATTCCAGCGCACCCTACATACCCCAGCGGCATCAATTGCTTTAACAGAAATTCACTTCTCTCTCTTACTCAAGAACCCACCATGGTTCCCCATAACCTAGTACATCAAGTCAAACTCCTCTGAAGCAAAAAAAGAGCTTGCATTTGGAATTAGAGGACATAATTCAAATGATGCCAAAGTCACTGTGGATGGGGAAGCTTGTCATATAGCTTAATGTACCTCAGTTTCCTCTTCCATCAAAATATCTACCTTGATCTACAAGTGACGGTAGAGAAAAACCTGCAAGTGGAAAAAGCAATTCACAGAGAGATAAACATCTTCTGATCTCATTAAGGTGTAATACAAAACTATGTGTAAGTATAGCTACATAATCATGGGTGCATGTATGTAAATGTATAAAGGTCTGGAGCAGTGGACAGCAACAGAAATATAAAGCCACATATTAAATTTTAAACTTCCTGGTGGTCACATTAAAAAGAAGAAACAGGATAAATTAATAATATATTTCCTTTGGCCAAATATATTTAAAATGGTATCATTTTGACAGGTAATCAGTATAAAATTATTATGAGATATTTTACTTTTTTCATACCAAGTTGTAAAAATCCATGTGTATTTTACAATATAACACATTGCACTTGGGGCTTGCTGTATTTCAGGTGCACAGTAGTCACTGGTGAGCCTTGTCTTGGACCGTGTGGATCTAGAAGGATACACCCTCCATCTGTTCCAATGGTTCACAACTAAAGGACATGACACATTGAGAAAGTGGAAGGTGTGAACAAGGACTTTGAATTTTCCTAAGCCCTTTTGTCTGTACTTTTTGAATTTTTTACATCAAGCATGTATTTTGTATAAACTTTGTAATTCTTTTTAAAAGCTGGTAAAAATGGGGGACAACTGCCTCTTGGGTTATGGTGAGAACAGCGTGAGATCATGTGAAAATAATTTGCAGATGATAAAGCACTGTCCAAATGTGTTTGCTATGCCCCTCCTTCTGCCAGAAAGGTCTGAAAGTAGTTCACAGGGACATGCAAAATACAATAAGAGTAACAAAACTTAAAAGTGGAAGCAAAGAAAGGACAGGAGGGAAGGAGGAAGGGAGGAAAGAAAAGAAAGAAAGGAGGTAGGGAGAGAAGGGAGGGAGGGAGAGATGAAAGAGGCAAAAACAGAGGCCTACAGTGAAGCTGGAATGAGACAGGGCAAAAATATACGCTAACTTCCTGCACACCTGGCTACCCGAGGTCACAGACCAAGACTCTCTAGAAGCTCTCCCTAAGGCCCTCCAGAATCACCTCCACCCCTCCTGCTTTCCTCTTCCAGCCCCTATGATTTCAAGCACCCCCTACACTCTGCTCAGCCCGGCTCCCCATCCTAGTTAATGTTAGCCTCTGGCCTCTGCTCATACTGTCTTTCGTCTCTCTGCTCACCTGCTGTCCCCACCTGGACCCCTCCTGTTCCATAGTGGCTCCCCTGGCCTTGCAGGTCTCGCCATTGTTTGAAGTCTCTCCCCACAGCCACGCCACCATCCTGATTAACTCTTGATTATACACTGTCACGTGTGGTTTTCCCACTCAGATGAACATTTCCTGAGTGCCAGCTGTATATCAGGCACTGTGGGAAGTTCAGTTCTGCTAAAGATGACATCTTATTCTGCCCCCAAGGAGCTTCTGAGGGAATGGAATTTGAGGCACTGTGTTCTCCTCCAAAGTCCTCCAAGGCCCTTCTGGCTGATTCCCTAGGAGCTGCGCTGGAGAAGCTTCTGGCATCCAGTCCTGCCCACCACACCCTTCACTGGCACCACCCACCTGGAGCTGAGGCTTTGCCCACTTTCTTCCTTCCATATACAGGACTCATGAAAACTAAGCCCCTTTCCTAACTCTCAGTATCCTCAGGATTGAAGCCTGGGGAAAGACCTGTCTCCCAGTGTCCTCAACAAGAATGGGGACAGGAAGGGGAGGCTTGGCATTATTCCCTGTACCTTAAACTCAACCCTGTAGACAATGCACCAGACTTCACAGGGCACACAGGTGAGTCAGGTGAGTTGGCAGTGTTCCAAATCTGGTGGGAAGGGGGTGGGAGCACAAGCTAGTCCTCCCATCCCATCCATTCCTTTTGGTTCTTCCACTGTCATAACAATAGCTAACATTTACAGAGTTTACTCTGGACCGGTGTGTTAAAGCACTTGGCAAGACTTATCTCACTGGATCGCCACAGCAGACTTATAAGCTAGGTGTTATTTTTCCCTCCGTTTCACAGATAAGGATGCCGAGTTTTCTCCCCACAGTGAGAAGGATGGGGGATTATTAAACTATGACTGAAGGCAGAAAGGCAGGATGAGCAGGGATGATGAGGACTTTCTTTCTCCCTACCCCTTTTTTCCCAGGTATCTTCCTTTCCTCCTCTAGAAGAAATGAAGTTGGAAGGAAAAGAAGCAAAAATAAAGTAAAAATAAATAAAAGGAACTAAAGGCACATCCTCGGTTCCACAGTTACGACACCCCCAAAGCTCCCCACCCACTACGGCACAAGTGGCAGGGAGGCAACAGCTAAAGTGAAGAAAGGAGGGACCCTGCTCTGTTGACACCGTAACAACCTCCCTGGGGCCACCAAAGACCAGAGTCCAAATCCCCTCCACCCCATTGGGTGTAGCGGAGTCCCCTTGCCCAGCCTCCCAACCTGGAGCACTCTCAGAGCTCCACTGGGAGCCCATTCCTTTATCTGAAGCAGGTTAACTCCCCCGCCTCCTAGCTCAGCCCCTGGTCTCCCAGGCTGCTCTGGCCCTCACTCTCTCCCCCAGCCCCAGGAGGGGAAGGGGTCCCCTCCCCTTGCACTGCAGCCATTCAAGTGTGGATCGGAGCCTCCCAAGCCCATGCCTGGACTCCTCCTCATTACCCACTCCTCCTGTTTGTCTTGCCCCAGACTCCAGCTCATCCTGGGTAGCTGTTCTCCCTAGTGAAGAAAACCTTTTAGAATGCTGCTCTAACCTGTCCCCAGGCAGTCGTTTCCTCCAGCACAAAGATCCAAACTCTTGCTGCAAAGTTCTCCTCATGCCCTTTAAGAACACTCTCAACGTTTTCTCCACCCTACTGGTTCTTCCTGTGCCTCCCCAACACCAGATAGATCTCGTTATTGTAGAACGTTAAAAAGTACAGTACTGGAATGGCTGGTCCAAACGTGAGTCATGGACAGCACTCGTTAGCACAGTATACATTTCCACAGGATATAGAATCATGTCCTTGGTTCTCATACCCATTGGCCAAGTCCCATTTTCCTCTCCTCTTCCAGCAGAGGGTCCCCACCATCTGGCAACTAGGCTGAGCTGGCCTGGCTCCTCCCCTGATCCCCAGGTAACCCATCACAATGCCCACCCTCCCCTCCAGCTACCTCAAGGTGCTCACCTTACTGTCTAGATGCTCTCAGAATTTGCTGACTTGTCCTGTTCCTTCTCTGAGAAACAGGTCAGCCAGACCCAGTCGCCAGGCCAGCAGACAAGTGCAGGTGGGCGGGGATTTCACGCGGGAGTGGCCTGGCACTTCCCGGCAGAGCACTGCCTCCCAGCCACCCCTGGGGCAGGGAGAGTGTCCCAGTCTATTGGCCAAGTCCAGCACAGGCAAGGGAGTAGCTGAGGATCCCAGAAGTCAGCGAATTAGCCTATGTCTGGATGGGAGGAGAGAGGGAGGGAAGCAATCCAGGTGCAGGTGTTGTACCTTGCCGTCCCTCCCTGTAGCGCCCTCTGCTGGCGAGTGGTTGTCACCAGCCAGGGGCTGTTAAAACAGCAGACAGAGGATGCGGGACCATTAATCTGAGCTTCTTAACCTATAACGTGCACAAGAATCACCTGGGCAATCTTGGTAAATGCAGGTTCTGATTCTGTAGGTCTAGAAGGGGCCTGATATTCTGCAGCTCTAAGAAGCTCCCAGGTGATACCAACGCTGTCAGCCTAGGAAGCTTAGACCCTAGTTCCACCTAACTTCCTGCACAGAGAAGACAGTGGAGGGCCTGAGAGGGTTAACGACCCACAAGTTGCTGGTGGCCTTGGGATGTACTATCTCTGCTCCCTGCACAGTGCCATTTCCAGTTCCCTCCCCCACCACAACACATACACACACACACACACACACACACACACACACACTCAGAGTTGGCAGGGACACTGCCCCTTGGGGGAGCGTTGACCTAGAGGGCCATTTGCCATCCCGAGTCCTTAGAAACTCTGCCTAGGAAAGATGGCACCTCCAGGATGAAAGCTCCCTGTGGAGAGGATTTCTTCCCGTCTGCTCCCTGCTGCCTCCTCGGCTCCTGTACAGCCTGATAGATGGTAGGTGTTCAATAGAGGATGCCTCCTGGAACCAGGCAGCCAACACTGAACCCAGGCATGTGTTGGCTATGTAATCTTGGGCAAGTTAGTTAACCCCTCTGAGCCTCGATTCCCTTGTCTGTCAAGTGCAGACAAAAATTCCACCTTGCGTGAGATAATAATTGTCATTACTGAGCTAACAAATGTAAAATGCCAACCACAGATATAGATGGTATATAGATACTCTATAGATGGTAACTATAATCACCATGATCCAGCCCCCGGCAGTTGAGGAGCCAAGGTGAACTCCCACGGCACCCCATAGCCGTTATCATCTCCCATAGAAAATAAGTAACTTTCTCTGTTTTCATCTCAGTTAATAATTCTTTGGCCTCTGGTCTCTGACTGCAACCCCCTCCTCTCTGCTTCCTTCCCTGAAGATGAGAGGGTGAGACAAATCTTCCGGAGGAGCCCAGCTACCCAAAATGCAGAGAGGCGGGTGGCAAAGTGGGGAGAGGAGGCAACCTGGGAAGGAGACTTCATCCCTAAAGGATAAACCAGGAAGGAGTGCTCGGAACTTTGATAGGAAATGAAGGGTAGGGTGTTTACCTTTGTTCTACAAACCTCTGAGTCACACAGGAGGCTGGACTTTGCCAACAGACAGGGATATCCTCCCCTACTCCTTGCTAGGACAGCTGAGAGGGAGGACTTTCTGCCGGGAAGCACCAGGCCACTCCTGCCTGACTCCCCACCCACCTTCCCATGTGGACTGCCTTCTCCTCTGAGTCATAACGCCCTAAGGCTGTGTGAAAGACCTGTCAAACTACAGTTCCAAGCCAGGAAGGGTCATGCCAGCCAGGAGGTTCTAACCAGGGGCTGTGTACATGGATCATGAACTCATTTCCAAAGCTGGTGCTTGCCACACTTGGGGACAATCCCAATTACAGGAAAGCTCTGGAGAAATTGCAGGGCCCCTACCATTGCCATGGACACAGAGCTGTTCACGGGATGAGGAGACCACAGGCTTCAAAAGAGTTGTAGCCTGGGGCTGAGCTGTCACAGGAGGTCTGGGTCTCACAGTGCCAAATCATTACCACAAATCCTCAAACATTCCACCAAGGGGTACCACGAAGGGGCCAGGGACAACCAAGGGTCTGACAGACCAGGTGGGCCCCTGCTGAGAGGAACTCTTTGGGGCCACACAAGCAGCAACTTGGACGCTCCAGTCAGTGCCACCACTCTTGTCATCTGAGAAAGCTGGATGAGCTGGGAGCCCTGCTCCTTCTTTCTCCCCAACACCCACCCTTCTCTGCCTTCCACACATCATATATTATCATGCATCCTGCCCTGGAGGTGTGCTGTCTAAAGAAAGGGGAGTTTGAGGCCTGGGAACAAGAAGGCACTGGGAGTGATGGGTGACAGGGGATAAAAGGGTGGGGTTGGGAGGGGTGGAGAGGGGGGCCTCCAACAGAAACAGAAACAGAAAAAAAGAGATAGGCAGGTAGGCAAAAGGTGAGCACATGGAAAGGTACACAGGCAGAATGCTGGCCAGCCCTGTCCCAGGAGCCTCCAGGACAAGTGTCCCTGACCTTGACAGAAAAGGATGGATCAAGCAGTCAGTCTAGAACACTGAAAATAATCCAATTTTTTTTCTCTCAAATCCCATCCATCATGGGGAGGAGACTGAAAGATCATGAGCAAAATAAGAATTGTATTGAGTGGGAACCTCAGTTGGAAGAGGGTCTGTACGTGGTCCTACATGCAAATGACATGCAAAGCAACATGCAAATGAGCATGGCAGCTTTTTAATCAAAGACCAGACAGTTGTTTCCTTGAGATGTAAGGACTCCAGAAATCTGGGCACTTGTGTTTACAGCTCGACCCTCTGGAAATGGAGGAAGGGGAGGAGCCTCATCCCCTAGGGCTGCAAGGGTAGGAGAGAGCTAAAGTCTCTGAAAAAGGAATCCATAGTGTCAGTAGGCAGAGTGAGAGTTTGGGCTGGAGATCAACCTGGGTGGGCCCCTTGAGTGTGACAGTCTGGTATCACAAGATAAGCCTAGGCAAATGGATTGGCCCACTAGCGATGGAAAAGAATCCCAGGACTCTGGCTCCAGCCTGCAGAACGCCGTCCTTCCAGGTTGGTTACTGTCAGCTTAGGTAAGACATAGTTCTCAGTGAGGGCCAGCTGGGTACCTGGCCAAGTGCTACCCACTGTGGAAGGTGGAGAGGATGGTCACACCTGGACCTGATCTCCAGGGGGAGGGAGGCCTTTCACTCAGAAGCAGTTACCAGTGCTGGACGGTGTCCTCCAAATGACAGATGAGTGGTGTTGCAAAGATAAGACCATAGAAGCCAGAAAATGGGCAAGGTGGTCGGGGCTGGGTTGGAGATGGCCCAGAGGAGCTGGACTGGGACGGGGCCCAGAAAGGGGTTGGACCTCTGTGACTAGACCCTCTCTGAGGGTCTCAGGCCAGGGAACAGCATCAGGTAGGAGGTGGAGACACAGGGAGAGGACTGAGGGGAAGGCTCATCATTCGCATGTTCTCTGCCTCCCCAGATTTTACCTTCTCAAGGCGAATGCGGCTTCAGGGAGCCATCTTTGTGGTTCTTCCCCACCTGGGGCCCATCCTGGTCTGCCTGTTCACTCACAATCAGATGTCTGGTTGGTGTGAGGGCTCAAGGATGCTCTCCTGGTGCCCACCCCACAAAGTCTTTTTGCTTGTGTGGACAGCCATCTACTCTGTCATGGGGTGAGCACTCATTTCTCACACACAGCCCTGGTACCCACTGGGGTGGGAACAAGTCCCCTGTATTTGAGCTGCTGCCATATACTGGCCTCTAAAGGGGTGGCACCCCATCTTGCCTCTTACATGAGCTCCATACACAGAAACCCCCTGTGCCTGCCTGGGATGCCAGCCAGCCTTTCTCCACCCTCTCCAAGTCTCCCCACCCCTCCCCTACCTCACCATGCCCAGTGCCTCCCACCGTCTTCCCCTGGCCCTCAAAGAATGCCTAGACCCACTTGCCCACATTTTAGCCCACGAGGGTGAACAAGAGTCCTTATACCAGTCCTTATGTTCCCTTTGCCATGGACCACCCTCCCACTGAATGCTCCTGCCACCATCTCTTCACAGCTATGCCTCCTACCTGGTGTGGAAGGACCTGGGGGGAGGCTTCGGGCGGCCCCTGGCCCTGCCTCTTGGCCTTTATGCTGCACAGCTCGCCATCAGCTGGACTGTCCTGGTTCTGTTTTTCACAGCCCACAGCCCTGGTCTGGTAAGGCACATGGGACTCGGCAGTGGAAGTGAAGCCACCAGGCCTCACAAGCAGATAACTCAGCAGATCCATTGGGGCAGGCCGGTGGCAGGTGGGCAGACGTCTCTGCACTCCCACCATGTACGCAGAGCCCAGGGGACTCAGCTCATTGTTGGGCTGAAGGGATGGTTCTCGGGGCAGCCCACTGACACCCCACCCCTCTGCTCAGGCCCTGCTGCACCTGCTGCTGCTGTACGGGCTGGTAGTGACCACGGCATTGATCTGGCACCCCATCAACAAGCTGGCCTCCCTGCTACTGCTGCCCTACCTGGCCTGGCTCACCGTGACTGCTGCCATTACCTACCGCCTATGGAGGAACAGCCTTTGTCCAGTGCACCAGCCTCAGCCCACAGAGGAGAAGATCCACTGAGGCCTTAGAGCTCAGGAGAGGAGGGGGGACAACCAGGGTGGGGAGGAAGAGTCTACAAGCAGATCTATGGAGCTGGGGCTCTCCCCAGTGGCCACCTTTTAGAGTTTCCTGGTGCCGTTTTTCCTTAGAGCTTAGAGAAATGGAAAATTTATTTTGGACTTAAATAATAAAATTCTGTTAGTAATTTTGAGGGTACGGTGTGACGTGTACATGTGAGTGTACGATGCTTAGGACACAGAGCGGGAACAGAAGCTTCTGTATCTGTGTGTGTGCACAAAGATGAATGTGTGATGGCACAGGCGGAAGGGTAGGCACATCAGCTCACACACCCCACTCACATACCCTCCTACCTGGCAAAAAGACTTAGTACTGTGACTTTTAATTACCTGAAAAATAGAATCTTTTTGAAAAGTGATGTAAGAGCAAAACAGTGAAATAAATTAACAAGGGATACTGATTACACATGTTAACGTTATATAATCCATATTATATATAACCTCATTTAACTTATATATCAGATTTATTATAGAATACATAGTTATGACATACAATATGGTTGCACCATATACATGTCATCCTAAGACCTCATGTTATTATCTCTGACAAGTAAGATTATAGACCTTCTTTTTTGTTTTTATGTACTCTTTCACTTTCAATTTTCTACACCAACTAATTTTTAAAAACATAGGGAAAAAAGGGATGGAAGGCTAAGGGTGCTGACAGGTGAATTCAGTAGCAGCTTCTTATCCAGGCTTCTACCTGACTTCTCTCTTTCTAAACCTTCTAATTGTCTTTTTAATTTTTGTATCTTCTCTCCCCTTATTTTCATGTGCTCTTGTGTCAAAGTCCTGATGGTGATAAAGGGTGACTGCCCTTGGGGGCGCCTCCCCAAATTCTAAACCAGACCAGCTGATAGGCCCAGATGACTTGTAGTCACAGGAGAGCTTTTAAAAATACTGATCGGACTCTCCAGGGTTGAGATCTGGGCATCAGTGTTTTCAAAACTCCCCAGGACCTCCTCAGTCATGACCAAAACAGAGAACCATGGCCAGCTGCAGCTTTTCTAAAAATTGCTTATTCCTTGGGCTCCACTCAGACTTATGGATCTCAATTTTTGATTTTACTATCTATACATGTTAAAGTTTTTGTCAGTTGCTCGCTAATGTCAGTACTCTGGGCAAGGATCATTTCTCAGAGCCCTTTTAGCTTTCACTGTCTATGGTTTCATGAGCCAAGTTTTAGGGCTGAAACAAACTGTATCCTCTTAAGTGAGAAGCCAGGAGAGCATCATTTGAGAAGGGGGCTGGCTCCTTTCAGAGTTCACCCAAATCTTATGAGAAGAAATCTACAGCCTCTCCTCCTCCACCAAGGGCATGTTCAGCCCAACAGGCAGGTCACCTGCACCCCAGGAGGGCACACACAGTGTCCCACCCACCTTTGTATCTCTGACTGACTTATAGAATGAGTAAACAAACACATTGTCATACTTTTTTTTTAAAAAATTGCTGGTCAGCACCCTGCCACTACCCCCACCCCACCCCTATTCTGGAACAACTGAAAAAGAAGGGAAGGACTTTCATAGCTCTGGAAACTTCTCCTGGTTCTAATGTGTAGCCAGACTGAGAACAACTGCTGAAGGGCGTTGTTTCTCAGAGTGCGCCCCAGTGACCTCCTGGGGCACTTGTCAGATTGTCTCAGGGAATGAGGGCAACAGGTACAATGGTTTGCAGTTCTGGCCCTGGAGTCAGAACAACCTGGGGTTTGGATATTGACTCTGTCATGTATTAACAGGTTCGCTGGTGCAACTGATTTTTATCAGCAAATACCAGTTGACAGGGGATGGGCCCGGGAGCCACACTGCATGGATTCTGAGCCCAGCTCCACCATCACTGTATGATCTTGGACAAGTCAGCCCCCAGAAATATTTGCCATTATCAGTATCATCACCTCATATAGGCATTATAATACTTGCTACCAATTTTACTCATGTTACCAGTTAATTCTAGAAATTCAACAAAATCTCCAAGATATACCAAGCCTATGGTATGACTTTGACTTCCCCAGGGCAAGCTAAAGCCACTAACCCAGGAGTCTAGATGCTTCTAGCTTTGGACTTGGCCACGGAAGAAAGCTTAATATGAGCAGTGTCCCAACAGTGTCCTGGTGTGGCATGTCTGATATAGCATGAGCCAAACTAAAGGGCTTTTTGGCCTTCTGCAGACAGGGCAGGATCCCAACCCCAAACGCTTATCCTCTGACTCTGAAGTTGTCCTTAAAATCCCCCTTTAGTTCCTGGGCAGGGAAAGTCTTTAATCTCACAGACTCCCAACCTGACTGGACCTTTTGTCTTTCCCATACTCCACTTTCCAGTTCTGACCCCAGCCTGGAACATACCCTGCCTTCAGCCTCTCTCCTCTTACTACCCATAGTTGTGCCAAAACAGAGTTGGAGCTGCTGCCTGCCTTTGCCAGGTGTATCCCAGGATTTCACCATCCAAATCATGCATGTGTGTGTCTTTATCCTGAGGCAGTATTTTCCTATTTGCCACTGAGTGGGTGTCCAGTGTCTGAATATGATTTGCTCAGGGGATATGGAGATAGAAGATCCCTTTGCAGGGCTGTGCCCATCTCCCACCAGTGGCTGGAGAGGTTGGCTAGAGAGACACTAGGTAGAATAAACCCAGGAGGTGGTATATCTCATTCCATTGTATCCTAGTCCCTCTTTTCCTCCCCTAAACCTTCATACTGCCTCACTTTGCCAATTTCTGCAGAAGGGCAAGGTGAGATGGCAGACTAGTAGGAGGATGCCCAGTGGACAGATGTGTCGACTGGGCTGGGCTGGGAAGAGGGCAGAGGGCAGGAGGTGTTTTTCTGCACATCTCTGGCCGCTGCCACCTGCAGGCAGGTAGGGCTGATGTGTAGGGGAAGCTAGAGGTTCCTTGAATGTTGTCAGGCCCAGGCCAGGGCTCCAAAGTCTCTTTTCTTCCTCTGTTCACTCTATCTCTTGAGGTCCCTCTGTACCCCAAGCCAGGTTCGGAGTCTTTCCGGAGTTCCCCTTTCTTACAGTTCCAGAAAACACACACAAGACCCTTTTGTTCCTGCTGATCCTCATCAGCAACTCACAGGTTGCTCAATCCAAGGCCCGGCTTTGTGGGAACTCCCTCAGATCACAACCTTCCTCTTTTATCCTCAGGTAGAGCTCACTAAAACACATCCCTGCCCCCCAGACTCCTTCTCCCCTCCAGCTTTCCAGGACTTTCCATATACTCAGGTCCACAAGCCAGCCTGGCCACATGGGGGCCTTACTCTTGTCCATCCAGGGCCTCCTCTGTCCCTCTCCAAAGTCCCCCAGTCCACACAAATTATCCACTCAGCAGAGTTCTGGAAAATTTCCCTAGCTCTTCCACCTGCACCTACTCCAACACATTCATCTTAAGGGCTGAACTTCCCTCTCAAAAGTTAATTGTTTTATCACTCCCTCCCAACAGGTTCTTTGGCCTTACAAGCACCCCTTCAAAGAGGAATAGTATTGGTCGCCCAATGTGCATGATTCTTATCAGATCACTTTCCTCAAAGACTGAAAGTGCCAGCCGGGAGCGCCGGGCGGTGCCGCAGGAGCCGGGCAGTGCCAGGAGTGGCGCTGGAACGGAGGACCACGGTGACAAGGACTGAAGTGCTGGGTGTCACCATTTTGCCCAGGGTAGTGTGTCCTGCATGGCAAGGCAAGCATTGTGCCCTGTACAGAAGAAGACCGAAAACCCTGACCTGCCCCATGATTCTGGTGCCTTCTCCAACCCCAGCCGCGGACTCTGGGAGACCCTTGTCCCCCACCCCGCTTTGCCAGCCAATGCTGTGCAAAGCCCTGGACACCCCGTGTTTATGTCAACAGACTGGTTGCCAGAGAGGGCAGGCTCCTGTCCGCTGCGGGGGTGCCTGGTGCCCAAGGTCTGTTGTTTGTGTACCTTGTCGCAGTAGTGACCAGAGGAACAGGCACGCCTGGGCTGGGTCTCTGAGGCAACGCACTGTTGGGGTCCCAGCTGTCCCTGCACATAAAATACCCACTCCATCAACGTGCCCCTGAGGTATCCCCTTTCACAGTGAGAATTTAAACCTTCCTCTGGTGAAGCTTCTATTTTCCACCAGCTCCCCTCCTGGCCTCTCTGCTCCTTCCCAGGAAGGGCAGCTACACATCCAGCCAAGACCCAAGGAACAACAAGGCCTGACCCTGTACTCTCCTTCTCAGCCACCTCCTAGAATCTCTGAGTGTTTCCAAAATTATGGTGGGAAATAGGACAGGGAGAGGCAGGTTGCAGCATACCCTAGGCCTAACCCAGCTCCTTCCAGCCACTGCCATCCAGACAGAAGGGGCAGGCGCCTGCAGAGTCAGGCTGGAAAAATTCTGTTTTGAGTTTCCACCCCATGCACCAGGTGTTTGGTGTTTCCATACCTGTACCTCCAATACACACACACACACACACACACACACACTCATGTACCAATCACTTCCCAGAGCTTAGTCTTCCTGCAAGAACTCCCTCTGAGCCTCTTCAGCTCCCTCTAGTCTTTTTCTTTCCCTTCCTGCCTCAGAGCCTGGCCTCAGGGCTTCTGGCTACAGTAGGGACTGAATGGTGAAGGGGTTAGTAGCATGACTCTGGAAGCAAAAGGCTCTGCCCTCATGAGCTGCATCACCTTGGGCAAGTCACTGAATCTTACTGGTCTCAATGTCCTCACCAGAAAAATGAGGATAATAATAGTACCTACCTCAAACATCCTTGTAAGGAGTAAATGAGTTAATTTACATAATGTGCATAGGACAATGTCAGGCCCACAGCATGGACTGTGTTAATACCAGCTTTCCTTGTTACTAAATTACAGGCAGCACCACACAGTAGGAAAAGCATGGAACTTGGAGGCCGACAGATCTGGGTTCAAATCCCAGCGCCCATGACTCCTTGCCTGACCTTGAATGAAACATACAACAGTTTCCTCTTGTGCAGGAGGGGCCTATTGACAGACCCTTACCCAATAGGGTTACCATGGTGGGGGAGGAGGGTATGCCAGCCCTAAAAAGAGTATAGAGGCAGCTGTCAGGCTCCTGGCACCTAATCCCCCAGATTAGCTGCTGCACTCTGAGGAACTTCACTCTGGGAAACTGGCACGACTTGGAAAGGAAAGCCAGGGACCAGCCAGGAATTTAGGCCCCTAGGAGGAGCCAAAAATAGCAGAGCAGGTCAGAGGGCCTCTGGAGATGGCAGGATGGGGGTGGAGGCAGGCAGGAAAGGAGCAGTGAAAAAGGAAGCTGTCAGTCATCATTTTGGGGGAGGGTCCAGGGCATTCTCCCAAAGGTCAAAGGGAAAACTGTCCATGGTTGGGGTCCTGTGCACCATTCACTCAGCGCTGTGCATAAATAACAGTAGTTCAGCCTTTATCTTGGGTGGGAAGACTGAGGCCCAGAGATGTTAATTGGTCAAGATCACACAGTGAATCGGTAGCTGAAATGGATTTTTTTTTCCTCCTAATACAAAGTTACACGTGGCAGGCAAAATATAAGACCCTATTCTCAGGGAGGAAGGCTTTCTCACAAGGGAACAAATTCCTCCCCAAGTCATTCTACTCTTCCTCAGTGGGTCCAAGCACATACTATAGGAAGTGGGAAAGGAACACACATGTATAATGCTTCAGAGATGTTTCATCAGAGGTTGCTATCTGTAGCCCTGGAAATAAGGCTGAACTTAGGCTCAGAAAACCTGAACTTGAATCCTTGCATGATTTTATATAACTCATTTCACCTTTTAAGCTGCAGGCCCCTAACTTGCAAAATCAGGCCAATAATTCACAACCATGTGAGACTGGTGTGAGGACTAAGTAAAATAACCCAAGTGTTATAAAGACTGAGAGCCCCTGGTGAGGCAGCACCTTATTCATCTCCCTATTCTTCATATTGACCACAGCACCTGGCACAAAGGAACCCCCCCACACAAATGTTTATTAAATAAGAGAAGTAAACTCTTTGCATTCAAATGACGTATGTTTGTGTGATAAGAACATTCCTTGCTATTTATCGGCTATCACGGCCTTTTCATTGTAGACACAGGCACTATCACTATTTCCTCTGCTTGTTTTCCCTGGAAAAATGTCTGAAAAAAATAATCTCTGAATTAAAGTGCTTTTAGTAAAAAGTTTAATAGGCAAGATGACCAGATAACTTACTGTCCATACCAGGCCACCCTAGAGAGTGAAAAGGGCATTTTTAGTGATTACACCTGGACAACAGGGAGAAAGCTGATCATCTCAAGCAAACCAATATGCTGGGCATCACACCAACAGGGCACCCTGCTGCTCAGAGTAGGGAGCCCTCCATCCTCCAAACCCTCCTGACTCCTCTCTTCTAGTCAGATCCTCAAGAGAGTGCCCTACCTTCTCATGTCCACCATCCAACTCCATCTGGGGTTGTTTCCCAATGTTCTATGGTTTCTCATTGTCATCGTGTAGATGACCCTGACCCTTCCTTTCCATTTCCCTGAGAATGTCCTAGAGCATCTTCACTGCCCTACACCCAAAGACTTGTGGCTCTGGCTAGGTACCCATCATGTGAGCTGCATAAATCTTCTTCTCCAGCTGTTCCAACTCAGATGCTTTTCTGGGGGCCCATCATCTCTCTAGTTCCAATAGGCTTCCAACTGGTCTCCAGCTTCTGCTCTTTCCAGGTGCTCAGATCATGCATCTCGTCTGCTCAGAGACAATGGCTTCCCATCTTACTCAGAGAAAACGCAAGATCTTTATTACAGTCCATAGGGTTCCAGTCTCTTTAGCCCTTCTTAGCTTTCTGGCCTCATCTCCCGGGACTCCCCCACCACGCAGGTGTCCTTACTAATTGCTCAAACACCAGGAGTGCTCCCATCTTGGGGCTTTTGCACATGCTGCTCCCCCTCCTTGGAACATTCCCCCTTATATAACCACAAGGTTAGTTCCCTTGCCTCTTCAGGTCTTCTCTCCAAGGTCTCCTTTTCAAAGTCTTTCCCTGGCTACCCAAGATGTAATCCCACCCCTTAACACTTCCTGTTCTCCTTCCCTGCCTTTCTCTTCTGCACTTACCAACACCAGGTAGGCCATATATTTGACTTATGTAGCAGTCATCTCCCTTGAGCTCCATGAGGGCAGGGATTTTTATTTGTTTTGTTCTTTGTCATATTCTCACACCTGGAACAGCACCTTGGCACAGACTAGATGCTCGATAAATATTTGTTAAATGAATAAAAGACTGTGCAGGCACATAGCATAAAGGTTGAATGTTTGGTCTCTGGAGCAAAATGGCCTGCAGTTTTTTTGTTTGGTTGGTGGGCTGCTTTTTTTGGTTTTGGGAGGGGGGCTTGCTTGTTTGTTACTGTGTCACCCAGGCTGGAGTGTAGTGGCACAATCACGGCTTACCGCAGCCTCTGCCTTCTGGATTCAGGCAATCCTTCTGCCTCAGTCTCAGTCTCCTGAATGGCTATGACTATACTGATGTGCACCATCACTCCAGCTAATTTTTTATTTTTACTTTTTGTAGAGATGCGGTCTCATCATGTTGCCCGGGCTGGTCTCAAACTCCTGGCTCAAGCAATCCTCCCATCCCCGTCTTCCAAAGTGGTGGAATTACAGGCATGAGCCACCATGCGCAGTCCTGGCCTTCGTTTTAATCCTGGCTTTGCTGCATATGAGCTGCATGATCTCAGGCCAGCCCCTTGACACTTCTGTGAGCCTCAGTTTCCCCCATGTGTAACATGGGGATAACACACATTGCCTCCCAGGACTGTGGTGAGCATAAATCTTACTTCACATGTTAACCACCAAACTCACTGCCTGGTCTATTTCCAAAACTCTGAACTTATTAAGTGGCAGCTATTGTTACTAACCGAGGCCCCCAGTCAATTCGACATTGCATGATGGGTTCACAACAGGCAAATCAACATTTACTTCCTTTGAGTCACAACTCACACACTTTCTTCCCAAATTGTCCATTTTTATCCCCCCGCTCCTCGGGACCCTCCTTTCCTGAACCCCAAGTTCCCCTAATACAAATGGCTTGGGTCTCTTTGCAACCACCCCCTTTCAACACATGTCTCAGCCTGCCTAAAGCTCTGAGAGGGCTTCCCTCCGATCTCAGGATGCCTGCTTGGTGGGCATCCTTCCACACTCTTCCCTGTGGAGCTAGGAAAGTTGGGTGGGAAACAAAGGGTGGAATATAAGGTGAGAGAGGAGGGAGACGGAGAGAAGAGCAGTCCAAGCCGTCTCCACCTGCCAGTTTCCTGTCTTTGCCTACTGATAAATAGGGGATACCAATGGCCAGATTTTCCATTCCCCAACCCCAGCACCCGCTGTCACTCAATTAAAAAAAGATAGCGGGAGAAGGCCTGGGGGAGGGGCGGGAGGCCTTGGTTATAAAGCCTGTGGCGAGGTGGGGAGAGCACGAAGCCTGGCCTCCGGGTCCTTTTCCCATCATCCCCAGCCAGATTTAGCTGCTGACAGCTGCTTGGGACTCCGCCGCCAGGGCCTGGCCCAGACCTGCCGCTGCTCCTCTCTGTCAGTGACTCCTAAGCCATAGCTCCTCCATGGCTCAGAAGGAAGAGACCACTGAGGCCGCTGCGGCCACTGAGGCTGCTTCCCAGAATGGGGAGGATCTGGACAATCTGGACGACCCGGAGAAGCTGAAGGAGCTGATTGAGCTGCCGCCCTTTGAGATCGTCACCGGGTGAGCTTCAGATGCAGGCCTGGATACTCCTTCCTAGAAGAGCACAGGCTTGGGAAAGCTGTGGGAATTTGGAACAATAATAGTAAAGGTTAGGGACAGCTACAAGCCTGCAGCAGTAAGACTGCACCTGTGGGCACAGCAGGGGTTGCTGGGGACCCAGCAGCAAATCTCTCGTGGCTTCTCAGGGTAACACCTTGGACTCCCTAATCAGGGGGAGGTGGGAGGAGTTCCTTGGAGGCCAGGGTCCAGAGAACGAAACCACCCCTTGGTCCTGCTGGTACTAGAACAGTCACCTGCCTCTCTCCCAGGGAGTGTGGTGAGGACAGAGGATGAGACTGGCACATTGAAGTATGGCCCCAAAGCACCCCCTCCTCAACTTCTCTTTCTGCTTCTCAGCGGGTCTCTCTTCTGTCTGTGTGTTTCTAGCCCTTTCTTTATAGCTTCTCTCTGGAATAGAAGATACCAAGATAGGAAAGGCAGATACATCCTTTCTCAAGCTGAGAGCAGTTTTGTTTTGTTTTGTTTTGTTGTTGTTTTCTTATTGAATCTTTTCTGGACCTCCTCCACCCCCAAGGGAACAAAGAAGTTACAGAGCAGATTACACAGGTCAGGAGTTTATGGACGGAGGAGCTGTTCCAACATCCTCAGCAATTTGGACTTGATATTTTAGGCTTGGCAAGTGATTTTCCAATCTTGGCCTCAGCTTTATCATTTATAAAATGGGAAAGCCACACTAGTTGATTCCTAAACGTTCTTTCCAGCTCAGATATTTTCTGATTTTGAAGGAAATATGAGAGAAAATGCATGCTAGTTCCTGAGGAAAGAGTAGTCCCCGAACTTTCGTTTGCCCATGCCCACCCAACTAATCTCACCCTCATCCACTGGGCACAGATTAATATAGACACAGGGAAAGCCTAGAGCAACCTGGCTAGGAAAGTCCTCAGTTCCAATGTCTGCCTTATGGAAGAGAGACTTTTTCTAACACGTAAGCATGCTTGGTACATGCTATACTTATCACACACAGGCATGTGCACACACCTCATTCTGTGTGGCACACTGATCTCCCCAGCACAGGGGCAGAGTCAGCCAAAATAAAATTAGACGACGCTTATTGAGTTGAACGTGGGTTCAGAGCAGTTGGTTCAGAAGAGTTAAGTCCTCTGTTGTAACTTACATTTGTCCAGGGCCTTATCATCATGACATACTATCACACCCACGAGTCCAATCAATAGTCAGTATAACCATAGGAGAAGATACATTATTGCCACTTTACAGATGGGTAAGCTGAGACTCAGAGAGATTGAGAAATATGGCCAAGACCACAGATCCTGTAAGTGACAGATATTGACTCCCAGCCACGTGTCCTTCCCACTGGTCTCTTCTCCGTGCTGGGCCCCAAGTTTCCCAGTAGAGCTCCATGGGTCTCTAACTGCCAGGTTTCCGATGACCCCAAGGCTCAGAAAAAAAGGCACTGCAGGGCAGTTTTCTGAATGCCTTGAGAGCATTTCAGGTGGGAGCGGAGTCCTGAGTGTCTCCTGGCCATAAGTAACAGCTGTGGAGAGCTGGCTCCTGGGCCCCTCTGGGTAAACAGATGGCTTAAAATAGCCTAGAGGTGCAGCTGTGTCTATGCAGGGGCATGCTGAGGGAACAGCTTCCCTCTGCAGACGCCCTGGAGCCAGAGGGGTCAGCAAAGCAGCTCCTTTCCTAGCCTGGTCTTCTACAGGGCATAAATCTTTAGTGATCCTTATACTTGGACCCAAAACTAGCAGAAGAACAGGTGGATTTTCAGGAAACACTCTGAAATGAGAAGTACCTGGTAGGAAGGAGAGCTATACCCTGCTCATAGTGATTCTGGTTGACTAGGGCACTCAGGATAGAGAGCTGAACTCAGCACAAAATAACATCGTGGAAAGTGCTGGAAAAAGGTCTATGACTACCACAGTGTGCTGAAGTCAATTGCAAATGGCTCAAGAGTCAGTGGTGTGCATCTCTTCCTAACTCTGTGTCCAGTGATGTCACTTTCACAGCATGAAATCTCCATAATGGAAGTAACTGCCTTAAGGAAAACTGCGAACATTAGAAACCAGGGATTTCCCCCCTTCTTTCAGAGAGCAGGATGTTATACACTTACCAGCATAACACTGAAAGAGAGAAACCTCTGAAACAAGAGGAAGAGTGGAAAGGGGATCAGTTTGGTAATGCTTCAGATGGAGCTTTGAAGGAAGCAATCTGATGCCTGGAGAAGGCACCATCCATCAATACTAGTTTCAACTGTCTATCATTGTCCAGAATCAGAGAGGTTGGATTACTCACTCTTTCATGTGAGGAAACTAAACCTCAGAGGATAAGTTGTTTGACCAAAGCTTGTAGATGGAGTAGGGTGTGAACCCCAGGACTGAGTCCAAATCATCACACATCCAAAAACCCATAGAGGACTCTTTTTCTATTGACAGAATAGGAGTTGTTCACTTACTACCCATTTCCCCCATTTGTATTTAACCTCCATGAAGATAGGACTTTGTCAGACTTTGTCACTGCTTTATCTCTAGCACCTAGATCCTCCTAGGTACTCAATACATACTTGTTGAATGAATGAATGAATTAATTAATTAATGAAAATAAGAGCCTATTGTGGATTAGGCTCTGTCAGACATTAGGATAGGGGATGAACTGGGGGAAGGTTTCTTGAGGGAAGCAGCTTGGGATACACAAAAACCCAGCTGTGCTTGGCTTAGTCTCCTGGCTGGTGCCTGCCTCTGAACACAGCATGCTTTAGGGGAACTCTGGGGCATCAGGGTTGGCTGTCTCCCACTCTTTCCAACAGTGGGGAGTGACCGTGGCTCTGCCTGGCACCTCTGATGTGTGTCTTTTTTCCTAGTTATGTTGTGTATGTTTTTGTGGAAAGCAGAACCTCCTATCAAAGGATTTCTGTGGAACAGAGATAAATGGCAGATGGGGTGATTCTTTTTCAAACACTTCTTTAGCTATGGATAGCGGGCATGAGGAACCAGAAGAGGCAGGGTCCAGAGAAGGGAGAGACAATGAGTGAGGGGCCTTTGACGCCATCATTAATGCCACAGCCCCTCACCCTCACTAAACTCTGGAGCAAGCTAGGCAGTGTGTCAGCAAGAAGAGAAGACAGCCTATTGACTCAGGGCATCTGGCCTTCACTGATGGTTAGTGGGAGGTCAAAGCTCAGGTGTAAAGACCATGCCTCTCAGAGGAAAGGGGCAGGCTTGCCTTGGACAGAATCACATCCAGTCCTGCAGTCGGGAGCTCTAGGAAGTCAGGCTGCTAGCACCCTCTGCCTCTGCTCTATGCTACCCTTTCTGATTATGCCCACTTTTTGGCATCCACTCTGAAAGAGGTAGGAAAAAGAGAGCCCATGAAAGCAGCAATCCTGCCTCTTTCGAGCAGGTCACTGAAAGGTCTAGTGAGGGAAAGCTGAAATGAGTCAACACTTAATTACCATTGAGTAGATTTCCCACCCTATGGATTATTTTGGAGCAAATGTCTAATCTTAGGCCAGTTTCCATTGCCCTCTGGATTGCTGCCTTTCACAGTATAGATTTATACTTAGGAAATGCAAGCGTTTTTAATGTGAACCTGAGAAAAATATGTATTACATTTACTTACATTCTCCCTCCATCAAGCAAATCATATTCCCATCTTTTTTCCAGATATTTGGATTCTCCATTTTCTCTCAAGAAAATTGAAATGCCCAGGAGCCTGGGCCTAAACAGATGAAGTGGGACTGAGAAAGTGGTGCTTAAATAGGTGCTGAGGCCTGGGGGAGGGAATAGAAATTAGGCTGTTGGTTTCCATGCCTGGAGAAGAGACTGAATCAGGAAAAGAAATCAACCAGCACTCGTCTCCTGACCACCACTCTCACACACACACACACACACACACACACACACACACACACACACACACACACTTTTAGCAGTAAAATATTGGAGTTAAGAGTAAAGAGCTGTAAGTAAATATGGCACTTAGGCATATCATGCTACTTGAAAAAAAAAAAGTTTGTGATGATCTAAGAAGTTACCAGCACTCGTCTCCTGACCACCACTCACACACACACACACACACACACACACACACACACACACACTTTTAGCAGTAAAATACTGGAGTTAAGAGTAAAGAGCTGTAAGTAAATATGGACTTAGGCATATCATGCTACTTGAAAAAAAAAATGTTTGTGATGATCTAAGAAGTTAGGTGTCACTATTTCCTTCCTCCTATTAGTGAGCATGATAGTGTTGATTTATTTCATGAGTCTAAAAAATCGCCAGAGATGGCCATGTGTCTAGCTCCCTGGAGAAATTTCAGACCTCTATCACCTCTATTCTCCTGGTTCTCTCCTTCCCACCAGGACCAGCTATTTCAGTCTGTAGGAGGTCCAAAGAACCTCAGTTGACCTATTTGCTCCTTCTAGGAGACCACTGAGAAGCCAGCAAGTTCAGTGTCCTAGTAAGCACAAAGGAAAGACTGGGAGTCAAACCTTCCCTGCCTTTCCTTCACCCCTGGAAAGCTCTTCTCTTCTTGAGGTCCCACTGGGGGATAGAGTAGACCCTGGGACTGCTGGCCACAGAGGTCGGAAATGGCTATTTATAGTGGTGACCTTTCTTCTTTCCCTCGGGTTTCAGGTTTCTCTGTCTTCTCCTCTTGCCTAGGGAAGGGGAGGAGGGGAAAATGTCAGAACTTAAGAGCTGAGAGAAGCAGTCGTTTATACCATCCAAGCCAACTTCCAACTGCATGCTGGGCCAAATTCATACTTTCAGCTGGGCTGTACTGAGCAAAGTCGTAGCATTGCTTTTGGGGGTTCAGGAAGTCTGAGGGACCAACCACATGAGCAGCTACTGCTAAAGTCTCCAAGCTAACCAAGCAGCCATGAATACTGCCAAGGATTCCTCACAGGTGGCTCTGGGTTGGACTTGTGGAAGTGGGTAGCCTGGCAAAAGGTCTTGAAGAGCAAAAAAGAGTTTGGGCAAGAAAAGTAAACTCTGTGCTGCTGAAACAAAAAGCTATTCCAGGGAGTGAAGGGACCATTTAGCAACTGGAAGTTTTTTGTTTTTGAGGCAGGGTCTTGTACTGTCACCCAGGCACAATTAGAGCTCACAGCAGACTCAAACTCCTGGGCTCAAGAAATCCTCTTGCCTCAGTCTTCCAAATAGCTGTGACTACAGTTGTGCACCACCACTCCTAATTAACTTCTTTATTTTTTTGTAGACATGGGGTGTCACTACGTTGCCCAGGCTGAACTGGTATAGAGTTCAGGAGTGGTCTGGTGGGGTGAGTGTCATTAGGGAGAGCTCTGTAAGTGAACACCCAGCAGGGATTGAGAGAGGAGAGAAGAAACATTGGACAATCCATTCTTTTAAAATGTTAAATAAATAATAAACACCTCCAGTCAGGGACACAGGGGCTTAGAGAACTAAGTATAGCACACAATGGAGCTGGGTCCTCCAACACATCCATCTTCACAGTGGAAGCTTAACCTGACAGTAAGAGACAGGGAAACTTGGGTAGAGAAATCTTGGTGACAAACAGGAGTGGGGGAATCCTGCAGGGAAATAAGTCAAATTTACTCAGATCTTTGGTATCTTCTGCTTATCCCTAAGCAGTCAAGGCCCTGGACACCAGGGATTCCCCTGCAGCCCAGGGAGTCTGCTGACCTCTCTGGTAAAGATAAGGAATGGAGGCGGGCAATAGAGGATTTAACGGTGCCATGAGTTTCTTCTGTGGCAGTCACAGAAATTACGTTTTTAAAAAAGAAAACATTTAGCTTCTCTAGCTGGTACTCAACCCCTCCTCTCTTGTGGACATTTTAACTCCTATTAAAACTTCCTTATTTTCCTTGGCCTTCAAACCTGCACAAATCTTTTCTATTTTAGAAAAACGCACACATACACATAAAAACAGTCTTCAACTCTGATGCCCTCTCTATTCCCTCTCCTTTTTTCTCTCCTTATTACTACCAAACTTTAAAGAAAAAATAAAAACCGGGGCTTTTTCTGCTGCTTCCATTTCCTAATCACCTATCTTCTCAAAGTCACCAACACTACTCATCACCAAGTCTAGGGTCATTGACCTAAGACACCTAGTAGGCTTTGTAAATTTCACAATTTTCCCCAGCTTCACTCCATCTATTGCCTGTTGCCACCACAGTCATCTTCCATGGACATTGCTTTTATTATGCTTTTCTTCTACCCAAGAACCTATAGTGAATCTCTACTGCCTCTGGAATCAAGGCTGAACTTTCAAGAACATTCAAAATACGTCCTCTACTCCACCTACCCATTTTTAGCAGTCTTCTAATGTTCTTACCTGATTTATTTACATCTTCTCTGTCCAGCTAGAAGCTGGTTGCTAGATTATGAACATCTAGGAGGGTAGACACCAAGTCTTTAAGATTTCAAAGTGATTCAATACTATATACCAGCTAAATTATTCCAAGGGACCCTTGCAAAGTTTGGCCTCACATATAAAAATTCTTGGACACTTACCATATGACAATCTTGTCACCTGAAGGAAAAAACAGACTTGAGAAGCAGTCTTGAGAGAATGGTATTACAAGTCTTAGGCCAATTCATGAGTTGCAAAATGAAAGCAGAAAATGCTCCGCAAAATCTTTGCCTTTTACATGCTTGCTACTTCCCTGGCCACTTATCGGAATCATCTGAAGAGCTTTTTAAAAATACTGATGCCTGGATCCCCTCTCCAGGTGTTCTGATTTAATAGGTTTGGTGTGGAACCCAGGCACTGACATTTTTAGAACCCTCTAGGTGATTCTAAGGTGTAGGCAGGTTAAAGATTCACTGATTTAGAAATGTTAGGGTGTGTTGTGCTAGGAGAATGACGTGGAGAGTGTTTGGAGATCCTTCCTAGTAGGGTGACCAGAATATTCATCCCAATCCAAATTCTCTCTCATCTCCTACACATAAACCTTTTGGATTCTTTCATGCCTTTTTGACAGTGACGTTAGAATAGGCAAGGCCTGTTTATAGTAAGAATGAACGTGTCTCTAAGATACTGATCCAGAAGTACCTAGGCTAGTCCTAGGAACAAATCATCATTCTCTCTCTTCCCTATGCCTTGTCTCTTTGACCTACAGAGAGCGGTTGCCAGCCAACTTCTTTAAGTTTCAGTTCCGGAATGTGGAGTACAGTTCTGGGAGGAATAAGACCTTCCTCTGCTATGTGGTTGAGGCGCAGAGCAAGGGAGGCCAAGTGCAGGCATCTCGGGGATACCTAGAGGATGAGCATGCAGCCGCTCATGCGGAGGAAGCCTTCTTCAACACCATCCTGCCGGCCTTTGATCCAGCCCTGCGGTACAATGTCACCTGGTACGTGTCCTCCAGTCCCTGTGCAACTTGCGCTGACCGCATTACGAAAACCCTTAGCAAGACCAAGAACCTGCGCCTGCTCATTCTGGTGGGGCGACTCTTCATGTGGGAGGAGCCAGAGATCCAGGCTGCCCTGAGGAAGTTGAAGGAGGCCGGCTGTAAACTGCGCATCATGAAGCCCCAGGACTTCGAGTATATCTGGCAGAATTTTGTGGAACAAGAAGAAGGTGAATCCAAGGCCTTTGAGCCTTGGGAGGACATTCAGGAGAACTTCCTATACTATGAGGAGAAGCTGGCGGATATCCTGAAGTAGGCGACTGATATCGGCCTCACGTGAGTTTCCCTGGTGCCATGGCACCATCCCTTCATTAAATGTCAACTGGGGTAGGAGGCTTGAGGGCAGGTAGAATGAGCAGTACTACATTTGATTTTCCTTTGGAAGGACTCCATTTCTCTGCTTTTGGTTGGTTGTAAAAACATTTTTAGAACATCCTGCCTCATTTTCTTTCCTCTGAATCCCTCTCCCTAAACTCTTTTCCCTCCTACCCTTTTATATCAAAAGTAACTTTCCCCTAACTTGGAATACTCGATGTTAGCAGGGATCCTAAAGCTTTGATGAGACAGAATAACCTTCTCTATTAGGATTTAGATGGTGCAAGAGTCTGTTACTGAACAACAGCAGAGAAGATATTTAAATCCCCTGAACATGCCCCTGTGTGCTTGTGTCGGGTCTTACTGGCTCTAGACGCCTAGATGCCCTGCTCCCAACTGTACTTAGTCTTCCCATTCCATTTTTCTCTAATGCAGCGTTTTCGTTCCTTCAGGGGGCAATTGTTTTCACTTCTGGTAATTTTGAAAACCCTCATATGGATTTGTATGCAACTGTTTTTTTGGTCAGATCTGCTATCATTTTTCAAACACATTGCTACACTTTGAAGGAGACCAATTAATTGCTGCATTAATGTATAACCCAAGATCATTTTATGTTGAGAAGATGTCAGCAGAATTCATGAAAAACACAGAATGTGGGAATGGGGATTATAGCAATAAGCTATCCCATGCAAGAATGTTCAAAGGGTTAAAAATATGTTTGTAAATTAGGCAGCAGCTTAGAAGTAGCCTCCTACAGAAATCAAGAGGTGACAGGAGTACTGGAAGTAAAGACTAGCTATTTAAGCAAATAATCAAGACATAATTAAGGCCAATATGGCCTCTTACTGCAGGTAAATTAGACTCTTACAGAAAACAGGTCAATTACCCTCAGGAAAAGGGGTTAAAAGATCCCTTACGGTCTTTTTTTGGAACTTGGTCTGATCTACTGTGCTCCTACAGAAGTGCTATGACTGACTAAGCCCCTTTATGAGGCCCAAGTTACTAATCAAAATCTTCTAGTAAGAGACTGGGTCTTCACCACCCTTTTACCCAACTTTAATTCTGGAATAAGTCACAGATTAATAAACACAAAAGAAACTTGCTTCCATGAAGATAATTCGACTTATAGTGTCTCACGATCCTAACACCCTTAAGAGAAGATGTTGCTTCATAGACACGTTTAGGAAATATCAGTGTTCCAGAGTTTGATGTTGGCAGGTGTTTTCTATTAGACATGTACACGGGGTGCCTGATCATTCTCAAGCTGAGCATTCGCCAATCCATGAAGACCCAATTTTCAGTCATTTCTTGCAAAAAGCAGGACCCAATCATTTAATTCAGTGAGACTAAAGTACAGTAATACCATGTGGTATGCTGCTTCCATAAAATAAGACACTATTCTGGGTAGTGATGAGTAGCAGTAAAAACATTTCTGAGGGATGACCTCTTAAAATGCAAAACTTAACTTTAATATTCCTTGAGGAGCCGGGCTCGGTGGCTCAGTCTGTAATCCCGCGCCTTTGGGAGGCTGAGGTGAGTGGATTGCCTGAGCCCGCGGGTTCGAGACCCGCTTGGGCAGCGAGACCTCATCTCTACAATAAATCAAAAAATCAGCCGGGTGTGGTAGTGCATGCCTATAATTCCAGCTACTTGGAAGGCTGAGGCGGAAGGATCACCGGAGCCCAGCAGGCAAGATTGCGGTGGCCGGGAGCGGCCACTGTACTCTAGTCTGGGCGACAGAGTGAGACTCCAACTCAAAAATATATATATACATATATTTTATATATTTGAGGATTTTGTTAGTGTAGGTGCTTATCACTATAATCATAAACCCAACACAGATCCTACAAAATGATGACTGGTAGCTTAATTTTAACCTTAGTATATTTTCATTCTATTTTCTTTTTCTTTGAAATGGGGTCACTATGTTGCCCAGGCTGGTCTTGAACTCCTGGACTCAAGCAACCTCCCAAGTATTAGTAGTTAGGATTACAGACATGAGCCACCACACCCAGCCCCAGCAAAACATCTTTGTCATGGCTACTTCTCCCAGCTGCCTACCTAGCAATCCTCAGGGCTTTTTTCTTTTCAGGGATTTTTTTTTCCATTAAAATTAAGCATTTCAAGATTTTTTTAAACTTTTAATTTTTGATAATTGAAGGTTGTATCTTGTACTAATCTAAACAGAAGTAAAAGAAATCAGTTTGAGGGAAAACTACATTTCTAAGTCAGATTTTTAAAAATACAATATTATTGAACTTTTATATACTATAAACCTCCTTCCATTAGTGTATATAACTGTATTATCTGGACCTATTAACATCCTTTGCTGTCTTCTATTTGAGTTGTTCATGTTTCTGAAGATGAAGGTAAAAGTAACAAGTTAAAAAAAAACTGGTAAGACATAGTTGTAATCTAAAAGCCCAGAAGAATAATCCCCTGCTTAAAGTCTTAAGAAATGAGTATCTATTAAATAAAATTTGTCTCTTCTTATTCCTTTCATTTTGAATGACAAAAGCGTTTAATCATATATTTAACTCAAAGGAACAGAGTTGAAGTAGATCTCTTTTGGATATTTTTCTGTGAACACCAAAATATGACAGAAACAAACAAACCCAATCCTGGGTAAACCAGGACCCATAGGAGAGCTGGAGGACAAATTCAGGGACTTGGGAAAGGCATACAGAAATCTTAGCTCAAAAAGAAACTAGTACTTGTTTGGAGCCAGCCAGGCTCTCAGTAACATGCTTTCTGTTTTTTTCACCAAGGTCTGCCTGCTGCCACCAAGAGACAGCAGTGACATGTATAGTCACCTGGGACATGCCTGTCTTCCTAATACCACTTGGAACTGGACAACATTTTACACCAATCAATCCTACAGGACAAGGCCCTTAGAGGACTCAAAATATACTCCTCATGCTATAATTCATTTAGGCTGTGCCTCTCTCTCTAATGCTGCTCTTGGGAAAGAGGAAAGTAACCTGCAAGGAGAGAAATACAACTATATATGGGCACCAGGCAACTGTGGGACCGAAAAGTCCTAATTACTCCCCAAAAGGGGCTGCTTAAGGCAAAGAGCCTCAGACCCAAGGTACAGATCTTTGAAATATGCATTTTGTGTTAAGTTGGGTTTTTTTTTTTAAAAAGAAAGAAAAACAGCGACATTAATAAAAGTAGTGGTGTGTTTTTTCTGTGGCCAAGTTTTTTAAGGAACTTGGACATTTAGATGTTACTATGGACAGTGAGCAAGTTCTAGGAATACGGATGCCCTGGGCTATGAACCAAGCCATGATAATATAAAGTGGAAGGGAAGATTAAACTAGGACTTGTCTATATAATACAAAATATTAACTCTCCCATGCAGACTTCCCACCATGGGCTTGATCTTCTTAAATAGTTCCTTCTGAGATTATTTGTAAATGTGGGACTTTTCTCTTCTCTGAAGACAAGGAATACGATACAGGGTGGAACAAAAAGCCTAGGAAATCTGCTATAAGCTATCCACATCCCAACTGTCAGTTAAAAAGCAATCAACTTCTTGATTAGAGAGGAGAGGGTGAAAAGTAGAGGTTCGATGTTCAAATGCACAATCATTTAAGAGTATGCAATACATGGTATTTGATGGTGATGGAAGGATGATGTCAAAAGTCTCATTTCTTAAAGGTTTGTTTAAGTCCTATGTGGAAGCAAAATCTCAGATGTGAATTTCTGGGTAATTGCCCAACTCTAACTAGATTTTCAGGAATAATGTGTTCATTCTGGTTATCGGGCCATGCCTCCTTTCCTCAGGCTTCAAGTATGATAAGTCATCGGAATTTGACCCCAAGACTACTATCTGCAAATGACAAAGTACTCTTATCACATTCCTGCAGAGTCCCAGAATACCACTTACAGCCAATCTTAGATGAGACTAGGTTTTGTTCAAAGAGTCAAGGCTCATATCCCATGGAAAAAATAACCACAATCTCTTTAAAAGTAGAGGAAGCCTAGAAAACCAATGTTTTGATCCAAGTGTTTTAAGATTTACAAATGGTCTCCTACTATGGTTCCACTTACAATTTTTCACTTCATGATAGTGTGAAAGTCATATGTATTCAGTACACTCCTCAAGTGTACCAACTTATGATGAGTTTACCCAGATATAGCCTCAGTATAAGTTGAGGAGCACCTGTATTTGTATAGAGTTAAGCAAAATATTATAATTCTTTGTTTCGTCCTATCAACCCACTCTCATTTTTCAGTTTTGTGTATTTAGATATTTCCTCCCCCCTTTGTTCCCTTCAATTTTATGTTATGCGGACAGAAATAAAGCTTCAAGAAAGTCTCAGTCTTAAAGTATGATAATGAACTTGCCCCTGTACTGCCCCTACCCCAATATAAAGAACTTGTCTGTTTCACATAGAAATACAAAAGTGGAATACTTTTTTGAAACAGCTGCCTCTTATCGTGCTGAAATGTGATAAGAACACAAGTCTAAAGTACAAAGATTATATATAGCCAGTGCTTTCCTGGTGTTTCAACAAGCCCCTTCTAAAATCCAGTTTCAACAAGCTCCTTCTAAAATCCAGTTCTTTTATACTTGGGAAAGCAGCAGGTCCTGTGACAGACCCAGAGTTCATCCTAGGGAGAAAATCAATAGCAAGTCTGACTGTTTTAACTCTCAATACTATAGTAAGGGGAAAAGCGAGAACGCCTAATTTCCCCAATAGCTCAGATACTGAATCACTGGCAAAATTCATGAACTTTAATCTCCCACTATGAACACAATAGAAGACTTGTCTTCTAAGCTTCAGAAGAAAGGGGGACTAATATTTACTGTAGTGTTCTCAAGATCTCAGTTGGCTACACAATAGAATCTTCTATGTAGGTTAAAACATAAAGAAACCTGACCATCCCACCCAGCCACCACATTAGAATTTTTTGAGAGGAAGAGGCATTTTTTTTTTTTTTAAAGAAAATTCATATGAATTTGGTTGAGGATCACGATTGAGTCACTATGTGCTAAGTACTCTGCCAGACATTTAACATGTATTATTTCATTTGTTTTCTTTTCTTTTCTTTTCTTTTTTTGAGTTGGAGTCTCACTCTGTCGCCCAGACTGGAGTGCAGTGGCCGCTCCCGGCCAACGCAGCCTCGACCTGCTGGGCTCCAGCGATCCTTCCGCCTCAGCCTTCCAAGTAGCCAGAATTATAGGCATGTGCTACCACGCCTGGTTGATTTTTTGATTTGTTGTAGAGATGAGGTCTTGCTGCCCAGGCGGGTCTCAAACCCACGGGCTCAGGCAATCCACTCACCTCAGCCTCCCAAGGCGCAGGATTACAGGTTGAGCCACCGAGCCCAGCTTCATTTGTTTACATAATTAAATTCAGATAGGTCAAATCAGAGAAACCATGCAGTGGACAAAAGAGAGGAATAGTTCATTATAGATTCTAAAAACCTGTCTTTTGACTATTGATCCATAGTTCTTGTCCATTCTTATCTCTTATTTTTCACTTTGCTACTCTTCCCAATGGACCCTCTATCTGACTCTTTGACACTAAGTTACAGGTGAATCCTCCATTACCCAAGTCCCAAACAACATAGACATGAGCACAAAAAAATCACTGAACCCTAAGAAAAAGATTTAATTTTCATTTTTTGTCACCACAAACTTGTTAACAGTGTAGAGCTCAATTTTGTGATTAAAACGGAAACAAAGCAACCCATCACTCTCACCTAGGATTAATTTTATATAATGATAACACCAACTTAAGTGCACAAACAAAAAATGCCAAACTAACTGAAATGAACACCCTTCTTGACTTTTCTCTTAAAAAGCAGAAGTAGATTAAATGCTGCCACCTAGTGGCCAGCCAAACAAATCTGTTAGCATACTAGAACAAAGCAAAAGGTCATAGGCCCAACAATCTGGTTTCCCTATTACAGGCCACTTACTCCTTGCTTTCTGCAAAACACAGCAACATACCCCAAACAATCCCTCCTCCAGAGTCCTAGTCCAAATAGTGGAATGCAACAACCCATGTCTGGCTTGTGATAGATACTTCACATGAAACTTTCCTCTGCCTATTTCAAGGTCGGTTTGCCCAGTCCTATGGCCCAGAAGGGATGACAAAGGAGAATACGGCCACATCCAAAATGTCCATTTGTTCAGAGTGTGTACACGGTAATTTTGATGTCTGTTGCCTCAAATACCTCCTCAATCATCGCAGATACATTTTCCCATTGCAGACGATCAAGACCACATCCAATCCTGGAAAAGACAAAACATCTCCATTGATGGTGATGAAGGTATCTAGGAAATTGCTCCTTCCCTCTTTTTTTAGGCTGTATCCATCCAAAACATATACACAAGTTGCCTAGTATCACATCTATAAGCAGCCATGGTTGGAGTGTGGAAGTCAATTGTTGGGTCACCCAAGACCGTTCCTAGACAGCCCAAACATCTAAAAACTGCCTAATAATGTATTACTTTCCAATTATCTCATGTTACATTTGGAAACATATAACTCAACCATGACATGGGCTACTCATTATCCCTCTATGTCTACTGATAAAAATTTGCTGTGGATGATGGAAAAGGGTTGGTATTTTTAAAATGCGCTCATGATAATGGAATATTGAGGAAGAGATCAAAGAGAAGAGGGACGAGGGACAGGATCTTCATGAATATGAAGTCAAGACTGAACAGTGGGAAATGTCAAGCTGGCTGGAATTCAGGAGCAAGGTCTTTGCAACACCCTGGTGAGAAACTGCAATCAGTCCATAAAACTCTACTACCTGGCATTTTCTTCTAAGATGTTACTCTATAGATCCTCAACATCCCCAGGGAAAACAGGCTTAAAATTGCTAATTTCATCTCATAATATGATAATTAAGTACCTAAAGAATTGTGACTTTTTTAGAAAGTAGTTTGTAACACATAAGCCATGAATATATTAAAGTCCAATGTAAGATAAGGGTCACTGTAGCCACATTCAAAAGTTACATGGGGCTTAGAATAAAACTGCTTGCATAGTCAGCACTGACTCAAAACTACCAAGATGACAGGAAGAAATGAGGTGAGGCCTATTTTCTGAAAAGGAAGCCAAGGGGCTACTGAACTTCCAATGTAATTCCCTTAAGTTCCCAATATCTAGGGTCTAAGAAATTATATCAGGGACAGATCCTCTGGCTACTACACACACTGACCACAAAGAAACACACAGTGTAAAAGTTAGTAATAACTTACAATTTTCTTCACACAGGATTAATAGGCTTGGGAAACTGGAAAGGGTTTCACAATTGCTCAGTCTTGATTCTTTTTTTCTTTTTCAGAGGCAGGGTCTCACTCTGTCTCCCAGGCTACAGTGCAATGGTGCAATCATAGCTCACTGTAACCTCAAACTCCTGGGCTAAAGGGATCATGCCACCTGAGCCTCGCAAATAGCTAGGACCACAGGCGAGTACCACCTTCCCAGTTAATTTTTTGTAGAGACAGGGTCTCATAATATTGTTTTGTAGAGACAAGGTCTCATAATGTTGCCCAGGCCGTTCTCAAGCTACTGGCCTCAAGGTGACCTTCCGACCTTATCCTCCCAAAGTGCTGGGATTATAGGTGTGAGCCACCACTGTCTTGATTCTTTAGCTTACATGGCTTCAGGAAGAGAGGTCAAGCTTCAGACAATGCTGGGAATTTAACAAATGTGACTGAATGACAATGGTACCTCTCCACTAGGTGGGTTGAGGCATGTGTGTGTTTAAAGTTAATTTCCCTGATTCATTCAACTCAAGTTAGAAAATGGCTACACCTTGGCCTAAGATCAGACAACTGGTTTACTGGTGATCTTAGTTTTGAAATCTTTTCACCTTTAAATCTATATTTTGGGTTAAGCTTTCAGTTGTTTGAGTTTGGGTAAGACAGTAAACCCCACCAATCAATTAAATCTTCATTTAGGCTCCCTGTATTTCCTTGCCTGGGCATGGAGATGTCGGTGACTCCATTCTTCAGACAATGAGACTTCATAGCTTCTAAACTCTTCTGTAAGTTTTCATAAGTTGGCTTGTGTGAAGCCCTTTTCTTTGTAATCTGAACACAAAGAAAGGATTCAAACTTCCATTATCCCAAAATGACAGCTAATAAAAAGTCATCACATTCCCCAACACCCTGATAATTAAAATAGTAAGTGTATTTGTATAGACTTAGTCTAGAGCAGGGATGACAAATGTCATACTGCCTCTTCCACACTGTTATGGGAGGCCCTCAGGAAAATCCACTAAAGAGACTCAGAAACCTAGACTGTGCCATGTAGTAATCTTTACTTTTCCCAGGAGACCCAGGAGATTAGCAGGTTGTACCTATTGTCTATTGTTTTTAAGGGAGGTGAAAGTCTTTGTGCGACTTCCAAGAAATAAGCTGCATATCTGTAACAAGGAAGAAACCATATACCACCTGAAAAATCCCCTTTTCAAAATCTGTATTTATTTAGAAACTGCACTTGCTTATTTTCTGTCTCTCTACATATAATAAAAGAAAACTAGTAGTGTTAAAGTAAAAACATTCAAAGTCACATCAGCTTTAAGGACAAAATTCAAAGGGGCTATGACATCTTCCCACTCAGATTGACATCCAGATCAGGCTTGTAGTGGGTTAGCTGTAAGGCACTCATTATCATCTCTAAGGAAGCCACACCCTTTCTGGGACCAGATACCATTTGGACAGTTGAAGAATCCTATGTTTGGGCAGTAGGTAGGAAAGAAGTTGTGTGTTACCTGGCAATGCATTTGACAGGGAAGAATAAGAGAAAAGTGCCCTTGGAAGATCTGTCTCTCGAGAAGTTGTTTTTAGAGTGCAGTGGCCGCTCCCGGCCACCGCAGCCTCAACCTGCTGGGCTCCGGCGATCCTTCCACCTCAGCCTTCCAAGTAGCCGGAACTACAGGCTTGTGCTACCACGCCCGGCTAATTTTTTTTTATTTATTGTAGAGATGAGGTCTCGCCAAGTTGCCCAGGTGGGTCTCGAACCCGCGGGCTCAGGCAATTCACTCACCTCAGTCTTCCAAAGTGCGGGATTACAGGTTGAGCCACCAAGCCCGGCTAAATTTTTTTTTAAGTCTACAAAAACTTGGGAGGCTCAGGCACCCAGGCAGGAGTACAGTGGCACAATCCTGGCTCACTGCAGTCTCAACCTCCTGGAGTTAAGTGATTCTCCTGTCTTAGCATCCTCAGTAGCTAGGACTACTGGCATGCACCACCACATCCGGTTAATTTTTTTTTTTTTTTGTAGAGACGTCTCGCTATGTTGGCTGGGCTGGTCTTGGCTTTAAGCTATCCTCCTGCCTTGGCCTCCCAAAGTGTTGAAATTATAGGCGTGAGCCACCACACCTGGTCTGTGCAACGTTGCTTTTCTCACTGTGTCTGCGAAAGAAAGTATGGAAGGCACTCCTAGCTTTCACAAGTCTTAGAACAGGCCTATAAATACAGCTTCACATTCCTTTCTAACCTAGTGCTCCAAGTGCCATCACAACTGGACCTGAGTGTTCATGAGATAGGAAGCTGACATCTTTAGTTCTCTAGAATGCAGCATCATGATCAACACAAATGTAGTGCAGCCCATCTGTTCACCAATCCTTAGAATGTATTAAGAATTGGCCCTGAAAAAAACAAAGAAAAAGGAATTGGTACCATCTTACCAAGTAATATATATACCGCCCATCTCTCTTCAGAACAGCAACTTCTCCAGATTTCTTTTCTAAGAAAAACATTTAACAGTAGAAAGGAAAAAGAAATCCAAAACACTGAGTTTCATTCTTAGATTTTTAAATCTTTACAGATCTGAGTTTACCTCAGACCGAGAAATAATTTTTTTTTTTTAGAAATAATTTCCAATAGCGAAGAAACCTATTGTCTCTTATAAACATTTTGCTCATCAGCTTTTCCAAATACTATTTTCCTTAACTTACAAAGTTCTACAGTTGTTTCCTCACACCCTATCTTTTGTCAGGCCCAATTTCAAATATACCCTCACTTGCCCACAAACTTTAATGTCTACTGCCTTGAAATTTTAGAACGTACATAATTTTTTACTTGCCAAATCTTTATTTACTTAATAGTGATCTTTTCACACACAAAGAGCTATGTAAAGCATTATGAGGAAGACACATATCTAAAAAAGTAATTAATTATTAAAATGTTTTCAATCAGAGAAGATGTCATCTTTACAAACAACTACAATACAAGCAGTAAGAAATTGGTTTTATCTAAGGCTGGAATCAGAATCACCAGTGGACACTGATTCAGTAAGTCCAGAATTAGTCTGAGAAACTGCTTCAGAAGCTTCACATATAATTCTAATGTACATCTCTGGCTTAAAGTCATTAATAGACAGTGACACGAGGGATCTGTAAGGAAGAGGAAGTTTCTAAACTCCTCTTTGAAGAATAAGTACACTAGGATATCAGCAAGGAGAGGATCTTTAATGCCAATCTGTGGACTTTGCTAAGCTTCAGCATTATTACAGGTTTCAGTGAAGTGGAATAACATCATCAGGAAAATTTTATGATAGAAGAGGAAGAGATTAGAGACTTTTACAGGGGTTCAGGTTGGTGTGATAATGGCCCCAAAACTAGAAGCCATTCCTACAGAGAAAAATCTAAAAGAACTTGGTCCTTACGAGGGCCCTCTTTGAATGCATATCATGTTTATGAAACTAAAACAGATCAGAAGATGCTCTAGCCAGGGCAAACCAGGTAAGCGATTTTCAAAACTCACGTTGATTTAACAGTTCTTGCACCCCTCCAAATTTCTTCTTGAAGAGGACAGCTATCCCAGCACCCATGCGACAATCCTCACTGATACAGTGGGCTAAAGAGTCTGTTTTGGGGCATGCAAAAAGGTCTCCTTTCACATACGTGATCTAAAAAATGTGTAAAGGAAAATAAAATGTATTAAATATAGAAAAATACTAAGCTATTTCATTTTTTTATTAACTTTGTATCCTCACCACTACCTCTCCTCCCACTCCTCCTGCAATTTAATTTAAACCCAAATCTGCACAATTTAATTTAAGGAGTTAACTACTACGAATTAAAGCATGTGTAAAAGGAAAGTGATGAATGGTCCCTGCCTAGAACTGTCTTAGCCTTCTTAAGTAAATCAGCTAGAGAGAAAAAAGACAATTCAATTATTGATTTAATTAAAGTGTTTATGCTTTTGACCTCAATTATGCTGAATTTCAGTTCACCCGTAAGTTAATACTTATTACGCACTCTGCTTCCTTCTGGCTCTTCATTAAGGCTGCTGGCCATGATACCGAGTCGCTACTTCCAGAATTTAAGTATTTCTTCGGCTAGAAGAAGGCAAAAAAGCAAAAACGCTTTGGCCACTGAATGTATTATATTCAGATTGCCCTGCACACCCACTTATTAGGCTTTTTTCCCCCAACGTCTATCGCTCAATGTGAGTTAGTTCAGCCTCTTAGGAGTGTTGCTCCGCTGGGACAGGGAAGAATGTCTGCTGCGGTTGGCGGTTGCCGGGGCCCATCCGGCGCTTTCCCGGAGCGCTCAGCTCCGCCGGCTAAAGCCAAGGCAGCCCTAAGACACGCCTCCTGCCTTCTCCACCGCCGCTCCCGAGCAAGGCGGATTAGGAACACGCTCCCCATTTCTCTGCACCACGCGGAAGTATTTCCCCAGTGGGTCTGGCTTCGGAGAAAAAAGGAGGGACTTGGCCACAGGCCTGTTAAGCCACAACCACAGGGTGCACAGGGCTGAGGCGTGCAGAGCCGCAGGCAGGGGGCGGGAGGGGGAAGGCGGCCTCTCCAGGAAGGTTCATCCCCCTCTTCCTTGGAGGGAGTTGGTAAAAGAATAGTCTAGAGGAGCCTCCCATTTTCTGTCTCCTACCCTAGGGCGGGTCAGTGCGTAGGGTCTGTCCTGGAGTCCCGTGGGAGGGTGAGGGAAGGCTTGCTCAAAGGCCCAACGTACCCCCTGGTTACCCTTCACCTGGAAAGAAGTCGGCGGTTTGGAGGTCCCCGCCCCGCGGGGAAGAGCTCCGGATCCACCCTGGTAGGCGGAAAGCAGAAGACGAGCCCAAAAGCGGAGCCAATCCCGCCACAGCCTTTAATTGGGCGCACCTTAAGATGGCCGTCCTTCCCCCCCACCCGTTAGCTGGGCGGAAACGAGGCCCTCTAGCCAGCTAGCCGAATCCACACTCTTTGGTGATGGCCGCCGAACTTCCGGCGGTAAATTCCGTGGCTTCCCGCCGCCGCCCGGGCATGCGTAACGAGACTGCCCACCGCGAGTGGGGAAGAGCGGCGCTTGCGCATTAGCCCCAGGGGTGTGCCCCAGTGGCCTCCTGGAAAGGGGTGGACAGTTAGCAAAGTGGGGCTAGTTAGCGCCTGCGTGGTACTAAGCTCAGGGCTATGTTTGTGTTGGAGAGTCTGGAGCGTCTTGAAAGCGCCTGCGTGCTCCTTCCGCCGGAGGTGGTGTCAAATCAGGGAGGCGGGCGTGGCTTCAGGGAACGCCTGCGCAGTCTTTCTCTAAGAAGGGGTGGGGCCTGTCCGAGCTGGAGTTAGGGGGCGTGGTCGCAGAGGCGCCTGCGCAGAGGCGGTTGGAGGGAGGCCCGATTCCCCTTTGTTCGGGTTCGCCATTTTGCGAGGCAGCGGCAGTGGCGGCGGCAGCGGCGGCTGGAGCCTCTGATTGGGTTTCGGAGTCCGGTACTGGAGCCAATCAGCGCGGGCAGCGAACCGGGGGAGCGAGGCACGGTGAGTCTGAGGAGCCAATATCCAGCGGCCCAGAGCCGGCCCCAGCGCCCCGATTGGCGGGTCTCGCTGACCACTCAGGAGAGGCCCAGGCGCCCGTCGAGCCCGGGGAGTCGAGCAGAGTCTGGCCGAGCTGGGCGTCCGGCCGCCCCGGCCCGGAGCCTGCGACTCCCTCGGGGCACTCCCGGCCGAGGCCTGCAGGGGCCGCCCCGGTGGGGATGGCGTCCCCGGGAGCAGGCACCTCGGGCTCCCGACCCTTGCAGGGTGCTAGTGCCCGTTGGTCCCCTTTCCCCGACCCTTAGGCCCAGGATCTCAGGCCCTTAGGCTCGGGGGTGGTGGGCTTGCCTGCCACGAATGCCCCCACACTCAGGTACACACTCGCGCCCCGGGCCTCGGCAGTTTGCTCCTGGCTGTACACGTAAACCCTCCCTTGCTCTCCACACTCCGACCCTTGGGACGAAGCCCTCCTCCTGGCCCCCCAGCCCTCTGTGAGCCGGATTGTGTGTCTGCAGCCCCGCTGGGTGGGGAGGGAGTCCTGGGGAGGGTGTCCTGGGGAGGGTGCGCGCCGCGGCCCCGGGGCCCTGAGTGCGGTGGGCTACGAGGCTGGGCCGCCGGCTTCTCGGAGCGCTGCGGGCCCGCCCCCGCCGTCTCCCTGGTCGGGGGAGGGGTTCGGTCCGTTAGTTCGCCCACTCCCCACGTCCCGCCGCGCCCCTCCTCCCAGGCCGCTTGGCCCGGGTCTCCGGCCTGGGACCGTGACCACCCCCTTTTGGCTCGTCATTTCCTCTCCTCCCCGCCCCGCTCCCCGTGGCAGCACCGCACACCTCCGTCTTGGAGTTCAACCAAGCGGTCTTCCTCTCTTGCCCGGGCTGTAAGGCGGCCAGTCCTTTCGGTCCCTGGAACCTCACTCTTAGGCAGTTGATAGCCCTGCGCATTCTTTTTCCTGGGAGCTGCACAACTTGATGTCATGCGTCTTATCCTTGGCCCCCCCTTTTTTTGAATATTTCCTCCTTTGGGAATGCAGCACAGTTTTGAGGCGTTGGGTTTTTTAGTTTTGCTTGCTTTCACCTTTCTGTGTCACTTTGAATGTGTCGGGCTCGGCTCAGTTCACACATCCCTTCGTTTATTCTTTTCTAATGCACCTTCTAATCCCATGTTAACGTTTTCTCAGCAGATGGTTTGAAACTTAACAGTGTTGTGGAGATTTCCTTAGGGTGACAGGAAATCTACGTTGGCGACCAGTTATTCTGCAGTTAGTATGTGCCAGGCATCATCTATGTGCTGGGGAGGGAGTGATTAGAGGTAAATTAGAACTGACCTTGCCTGGTGGAGATTGACAAGTGAACAGCTAATTAAGACCTAACGGTTAGTGCTGTAAAGGGGCCAAGTTCAGTGCTGTGAAATTATTGGTACAGAGGCTATCAGCCTCCGTGAAAGGTTTATCACCACCACATTTTTGATTGGCTTGAAGGATGATGGGATTTCTTCAGACAGGAAAGGTGGAAGAACATTGCCCTTTTGTACAGAGGAACCAAATTGTGCTGTGTTAAGTTTAAGGCAGAAAGAAGGGATGGAGAAGTAAGTGGGCAATAGTAGTGAGAATTTAGGTGGGAAAAGCTAGTTGATAAAAACACATATATGTTGCTAAGGAACTTTTCAGAAGCAGTTATTTTTCTGGCTGGAGCTTCAAGCAGAAAGGATCTAGAACTAAATTTTTCCCTAAGATTGAAATAATGAGTTTCTGACTCATGGATTTTGCCACATAACAGTAGCTGTCTTCTTTGGGGAAGAAAAGGAGATTTTTGTCCTAGGACTTTGAAATTTTCTTTTATTATATGAAGCATCTCATGCATTCCCTGACACAGAGTAGATCTTCAGTAAATGGTGCCCATTTTGTAAATCATATTTACTAAGGTCATACAACTGTTAGGTTTCAGAAAACATTTAGTATAGTGCTCTTTCCGCTACTAAATGCTTGGGGAATAGTTTTTGTTTTTAGAATGAGTTCTTCTTTGTTTAAATCATTTTCTTAATTCATTTAATCTTTTCGTTGTCTGCGTTAATAGATGGGGCAGTGTGGCTTAGATATTTTTAAAACACATATTTGCCTTTGGAATAGATGTTTTAACCTTGGTATCTGAAATTGGGAATTTCTGGTCACTTTGAAATCACCAAATACTTTTGCTAGACATCTTTCTAAAAGGCACAGTCTGGTCACTTTTTTTATTAAACACTTTCTAGAGCTTCCACCAGTGCAGAAGAACCTTTTTGCCTAGCATTTTGCAAGACAGTAGTGTGGCCCCTAGCTTTTCTCTGGTCACAGTTCCTTTGAGTCTGCTGTTCATATGCTCTTCATTTGGAGTACTTCACCTTCCACATCATTACATAGCTAAATCCTTCTTATACTTAAGACCAGTTCATACGGCACTTTTTTTCTCTTTTTTTTTTTGACAGGCTTGTTGATTTATCCCCAGTTGGAAGAAACCGCCATCCTCCAGACTCCCATATTTAACTCTCAGGATTTCAGTAAAGAATTTTACTCCTTTGCTAAATATAAAAACTCTTAGAAGTCAGATCTTCATAAGAGATTTCTTTTTAAGGCCTTTAGAACAGTGTTCTGGCACTTGGTACATCAATAGTGGAGAGAAGGAGCAAATTAGGAAGTTCCAATCCAGAAACTTGTAGGATGATGGGGAAACTGGGCAGCCCTTTGTTGTATAGTCTTTTATCAAACATGTATCAGGACCCACTTGTTGAGTTGTGAAATAAAATTGAGTGGGCCAATGCTGGTAATTTTTTATAATAGAATAGAAGATAACAGAGTACACCTTATGTTGTATAAGGATAAATACTGTTTCATGAAGCTTGTTTCAGTTACATAGGTTTTATGTGTTATGTGTGCACTGAGTTGTGATAAGAAAATGTGTTCCTTACTGTGGGTTGTGGTCCAAGTTATAAAGCTACTGTTCTAGTCTGGGCTCAGTAGTGATTATGAAATATAGTAATCTGAGGGCTTTTCCTATGCTTGTACTAGTTGAGTTTCTGGAAGTTTTCGATTTAGAATGTGTGTAGGTCCACATAAAATGGATTCCTAGTGTTGACTAAATTTCAGCTTCTGAACCTTGAAGTGGTAGGGCAGAGATGCCCTAGGAAGAGAATTTCCATGCCAGCCAGAATAAAAACAACTCTCATTCTTTCCGCTTCTCTGTCTTTGAGGAAAAAAACATTAAAAATTTTGGGCTAGGAGCAAGAGCTAGACAGACTCAATCTGGCTGGCTTAATTTTGTCATAATCTTAGGCAGAGAAGCATTTGAGGAAAGACAGTGTGTCAGATTATATTGCCGTTCTGCTAACAAGCGTACAGTAGTAAGAGCATATGGCTTCAATGAAGCCACATTGCATTCACCATTAGCAATCTCAATATCGTGCTACAAGCTGCATCACTCCCTCATTAATGTGAGAGAGAATTGCTGCTGGATTTGAAGCTGATTCCTTTTTTACTCTTCAAAGTATAGTAGATTTAAATGTTCTTAAGTTGGTTCATTTGTTTTACCAGTATAAATTAGTTTAGATGAAAACTTACATGATGTTATATCTGTTAGTCACTACCATGTGCTTCAAGTTATATTTTAGTCTTGTAAGGTGTAAACTTCTGGAAATTAGCTGAGGAAAAATCTCATACAAGAAGAGGATTAGGAGTGGGAGAGGTGTTTATCTTGTTGTTTTATAGAGATGAGTCTTGCTTTGTTGCCCAGGCTGGTCTCGAACTTCTGGCCTCAAGTGATCCTACAGCTTTGACCTTCAGAGTGCTGGGATTACAAGTGTGAGCCATTATGCCTGGCCTAGGTATTGAAATATAGAAGATGTTCCCTTCATAATTCTTCTTTTCTTAGATCAATTTTAATGAGATATAGCTTAAACAGTCATTTTAATGTCATCTTAAGTATGAATTTGATGAGCTTTGACAAATTTATACACCTGTACAGTCACCACCACAATGAAGATACAAAACATTTTCATAATTCCTGAAAGTTTCTAAAGCTCCATTCCAATTAACGTTCCTCTTTCCTATCTCCTCACATTCTTCAATCCCAAGGAGCTACTGATCTGTTTTCTGTTTCTAGATTACTATTAGTTGTCTTTTCAAGGTTTCGTGTGTGGAATCATATACTTTCTTTTATGTCATTACCTTAATTTTATTACCTTAGAGACATAAGTATTATATGTTAGAGAAAAGACAGAATTTAGGGAAGCCTGTTAGCTTTCCTACTAGAACCACTAAATCTGACTGAACACCGTATTTTCTGTACTGTACCTAGAACCAGGAACAGACTTAGTCAACCAATTCAGAAAATACTGATATAGAAATTAGAAAACCAGTTGTTCAGTATATAGTGATCCATTATAGATTGATTTCTTCCTTTACACTATATTGAGACATCTAAAAGTGATTAATTTCATTCACCCTGTGTGGATTTATGGTGAGTGGTACCTTACTCTGCCCCTGTAATGTACAGCTCAGCTGGTCACATATGTTTATCATTTTAATTTTGGAATTCATGAGGGCCTGGAGAAAAAAATTGAGGGGAAAGTTTATCTACATTTTGTTTACATATACCATATGCATATATTTCCTGGATAAATTACTTTTTGGTAATTTATATAATTTTTTTAACGAAATTTTTATTAAAATGTTCTCAAATATCACTTCAGTTTATTCAACTGTGTCCTTATTTTTGAAAGAGGGTCTTCAACTCTTAAAGTGTGTGAGAAAGGGAAAATTTGAACATTGACTGGATGTTTGATGATAGTAAGGACTTATTAATCCCTTAGTGTTTGAAAATAACATTATGATTTGCCAACTGTATATCTGACAAAGGCCTAATATTTAGGATCTATGAGAACTCAAACACACCAAAAGGAAAAAAGCAAACAGCCCCATTAAAAAGTGGGCAAAAGGCATGAATAGACACTTCTCAAAAGAAGATATACGGGCAGCCTACATACACATGAAAAACTGCTCAACCTCACTCATCATCAGAGAAATGCAAATCAAAATCACATTGACATACCACCTGACCCCAGTAAGAATGGCCATCATTAATAAAACAAACAACAGATGCTGGCAAGGATGCAGAGAAAAAGGAACACTTCTACACAGCTGGGGGGAATGCAAACTGGTGCAGCCTCTTTGGAAGACAGTGTGGCGATTTCTGAAAGAACTAGAAATTGACCTTCCATATGACCCAGCAATTACCCTATTGGGAATATACCCGGAGGAACTCAAGTCATTCTACAAAAAAGATACCTGTACATGTATGTTTGTTGCAGCTCCATTCACAATAACAAAAACATGGAACCAACCATGTTCCCCATCAAAGCTGGATCGCATAAAAAAAAAATATGGTACATATACACAATGGAATATCATGCAGCATAAAGGACAAACATATGAACTTCGATGCAACTTGGATGGATTCAGAGTTGATCATACCCAGTGGTCTGTCACAGAAATAACAGAGTATCATATGTTCTCGCTCATAAGTAGACCTTGAACAATTATAATACTATAAGAAAGGGATCGACAGTAGTGGGAAACTGTCAGGGGAGAGGGGGTGGGATTGGCAGTTGAGGGAATCTGCTAGGGGAGGGACGGGCACACCTCATCGACAAGGGTACCTGCATAATCAACGTTTGTATACCTAACCCTGAATTGTGCCCCACATCTTTATAATAAAAAATAATAAAGCTGGGCTCGGTGGCTCAGCCTGTAATCCCGCACCTTTGGGAGGCTGAGGTGAGTGGATTGCCTGAGCCTGCAGGTTCAAGACCCGCCTGGGCAGCGAGACCTCATCTGTACAATAAATCAAAAAAATCAGCCGGGCGTGGTAGCGCATGCCTGTAATTCCGGCTTCTGGGAAGGCTGAGGCGGAAGGATCGCAGGAGCCCAGCAGGTCGAGGCTGCGGTGGTCGGCAGCAGCCACTGCACTCCAGTCTGGGCGACCGAGTGAGACTCCAACTCAAAAAATAATAATAATAATAATATTGTGGGTACACAGTATCATTGTGATAAAATGATAAAGGCAAGCTGGGCATGGTGGCTCATGCCTGTAATCCCAGCATTTGGGGAGGCTGAAGTGGGAGGATTGCTTAAGCCCAGGAGTTTGAGACCAACCTAGGCAACATAGTCCTCATCTCTACAAAACATTTTTTTGATTAAAAAAAAGAGATAGTGAATGTAAATACTTTGTATTATCCTGCTTTCTTACAAATAAAGTACAATGATAACAAGATTAGTTGTTTGGCAAGACTTTTATTGACAGTCTCACTTTAGTTTCTTTCCTAACCTTTTTAATAGGAGTGTACCTCTTAGTCTTCTGGGATCTCCAGAGTGAAGCTTACGTGGACGGGGATTCTTACTTGGAGGGACCATGGAGCAGTATACGGCAAACAGCAATAGTTCGACAGAACAGATTGTTGTACAGGCTGGACAGATTCAGCAGCAGGTATGGAAGTACAATACAACTGCTTTAAACTTCACAGCAATGGAGCTGGTAACAGCACCACTTAGTTGTTTAGTATATTACCTTGAGAAATTGAGAGATAGCAGATCTTGTGAATTATTGGTCTCGTGCCTTGTGCGGATGGACTGTATCCAGTCTGTGACCACTTAGAATATGCTCTTCATGGGGTCCTGGTTTAATAGTAAATTGCCCCTTTTATCTCATTAAAAGTCAAAACACTTAGTCTGTTTTCAGATGGAAATTTGGAGCTTTATGTTTTTCTGGATTCAATTTTTTTTTCTTCTTGTTTGAGCTAATTTGTGGTTTAGTAAGGCTTTGACCACAAAACAAGCCAAGATAGTCATCCTCCAAGAAATCCACTGTTTTTTTATTTAGTCCACCACAGTTTTTATTATTAAAAGCTCTCGTTTCACATCAAACAATTGTTCTTATGGATAACCCATATTAGAAAAGAATTTTCTGCCGCCTGTTTATTCCTAATTGATAGATTTCGTTCTTGAATTTATGTACAGATCACATTTTCCTATGCTTTATGCTTGTTTTATTATAGTAAAACTTCACTTTTTTCCCATTCCTAGAAGAAAAGAAGAAAGGTATTATGCTTCAATTTGATGTTAGGCCAAGATTGTGGGAATATTTTGTTTTTAAATTGGAACTTATATAGAAAAGTGGTTCACGTGGAGGGCAAAGGAAGTATTGATAGTTGTTTCCATCTAATGACCAAAAGAAGGAACTGCTCTTGATTAAAAGACACTAATTATTTAAACTCCCTTGCTGGCCTTTCCTTCCACACGGCTACTGTGACTCTGGCAGCTTCCTTCAGGTGCCTCCTTAAAGAAGGGAATTCCTTAAAGGACCCTCCATTCAGATCAGTGCCCTGGTGGGTGGATTTTTATTCTTTCAGAACTTACCATTAGAGGTCATAAAAGTAAGGTTGAATCACTGAAAACATGGCTTCTAATGCAGTCTGGTTGGGTAGAAATAATCTTAGTTTGGGAGATAGGTGTGGTGGTACATGCATGTAGTACCAGCTACTTGGGAGGCTGAGGCTGGAGGATTGCTTGAGCCTAGGAGTTCAAGATTAGCCTGGGCAGCATAGTAGAACTCTATTTCTAAATAGAGTTTTTAAAGGAAATAATCTTAGTTTGGGGACCTTAGAGCAGTGCTTCATGAAGTTGATTTTGGTTCATAGTAATTAGTTCATTCTTTCTTGGTGATTGCATTTAAGCCCCAGAAATTCTCCATTGTAGCTTTAAGCTTATTAAAACCTGGTAATTTTGTTCTTATGAACTCATTTGAGAAAGTAAAAAGCATTAAAATAATTAAAATAATTATGTAAGCAGAAGCATCAGATTCTTATTTCTGAAGGGAAGGACTGCGTTGCAAATTTTTGTGTTGATGACAACTATTTGATGTTTTTGAGTCATGGAAGTGTGTTTTGAGGTCCACTCTGGAGCCGAAGGGCTAATGTTTTTGATCCTATTACCTTCAACAAAATAGCTTCAGTATAGGGAGTCTGTACGTTTTGAAAGTCCTTTGTAGGGTGGGGCTTTTGAAAGAAGACATCCTTCCCTCTCCCTTGAGGTAAAGTGATCTTATGTCTTGAACTATACATTTCCTTCCTGACACATTTCAAGCTCTTCCTGTTCCTGTTCTCAGCAGCAGGGTGGTGTCACTGCTGTCCAGTTGCAGACTGAGGCCCAGGTGGCATCCGCCTCAGGCCAGCAAGTCCAGACCCTCCAGGTAGTGGTGCCCTCTCTGATTCTCTGTGAGCACTGCATGAACTTCTCCTCTCCTCATGTCTGGTGCTGTTTGTGTTAGGATCTCAAGTAGGAATGGCAAAGTCAGCTGCATGTCTTTGATACTGCTAACTTTTCTTGTCTGAGGCTTATAAGATGCCAGTTTCCTGATGCTTCATGTCAAGTCATGTAGAGACCCCATATCAATTCTGAAAGTTGCATAAGACCTAGTGTGTTTCTTTGGGAATGCCTGGAAAATAAATGGTATAAGTGACAGGAAGAAATTCTTACAAGTGACATTAGAACTTATTCAGAGCTTAAACTCTGTAATCCAATTGCAGAGTTTTTATGAAATTTTATGAATTTTTATTATAGTGGAAAAAAACAGACACACACATAGACACATAAACTAGGCTAGACTGTGCTTTTATTTTAATTTTTTAAAAGCAATTCAACTGTAAATTAATTATTACACTTGGCAAGGTTTATCTAAGCACTAAATCTTGTTAATCTTCTGTTAACTGCTGTTTTTTCACTACCTTTCCTGGAAAGATAGTGATCTGTCTTTTTACTAGATGTTCATAGATTACCCCATATACCTCTTAGATGGGCAGAGGTGTGATATGCTTTCTTTAAGTCTTCGGTGTCAAAACCACTATAAGAATTGTTAGCTAATCAGTGCAGTTCTTTTGTGTTTGGTCCTAAATTGGGATTGTAATTTTACTAGTTCCTATTAAAAAAAAAAAAAAAAAAAAAGGAATAGAAGCCCTAGTCTACTCTGAATCTGTAGGTTACTTTGATTTAAATGACTGTACTGTATTTCTGAAAAGTTGGCAAGATTTGCGTGCCCTACCTTTTTTCTTCCCTTGAATTGGAAGTGATTCAAAGTAGGACCTAGAATGTAGAACTGGCATCTCACTTTATTACTCATCCTGCAGATAACTGCCCCTTATTGTAATCATTTTGCTTTACTCTTTCAGTACCACCCACCACTAGTAATGTTTGGTGATGATATACAGCCAATTCTGAACATAAATTGCACTGAAAGAAGCTGAGCTAGTAGATATTCGAATCTTATAGTCCAACAGCTCGTTCATGTTTTTCATGCTTGCTTCATCTTACTGATATGTAAAAGTATTTTGGATTGTCATTAACCACTTATGAATGGAAATGTAACATGCTCTTAACTGTATGGCTTCCTGTCTGATGCATGTGTCCTTGTAATCATTTTTATGTTGTAAGTACAGTGAGCTCTTTGGAGTCTCAAATCATTTATCATATGCGCAAATAGCATGCCAGTGGGGGAAGAAATTAAGATGATGGGTTGCCAGAAAATTAATAGTTGTGTCTTAAAACTTGTGTTTCCTACTTACATGGATTTAATTGAAAGACATGGAAACACTTTATGGGAATAATAGAAGCCTTTCCTCTAGAGATCTGATTATTTTTGGAGAAGTTTAAATAGTTTTTTCAGTTATTCATACAATAAGTTTTCCGAGAAATCTTTCTTGACACAGAGTATGCAAGCACTGGTGTAGCCAAAGGAATTTGATTTGGAATAGGGAATTAAGGAAAGGAGAAAGCATGAGAAAGTCAGGCTATAATGTCCTTAAAAGTAAATTGGAGGTTCTCAATGGACACTTTAATCAAACTAGGATTTGAATGTTCCTGGTGATTATGACACATTGGTGGCGGCGGTGGTGGTGGTGGCAGTAGGAGTGCTTTACTATCTACCCTAGTCACCTAAAGCAGAATGATCTTTTAATTAATTGCTGTGATTTAAACATATATTCACTTCATTAAGAATGAATATTTTAGTCAATGAATATTATTTTATTCTCTTAAAAATAATTCCTCAAAACAAAGATTGAATCTGAAAATGAAAGCTTTGGACTTTTTAGCTATTCTGTTGCTCATTCAGTTCACTTCTAAAGCATCTTGTCTTTCGGCATCAGAAAGCATTCCACTAGATATATTTGCATTGGGACTCAAGACGTGACAGAGCACTTGTAGTGACCTGGCTTCTAGAAAAGTCTGTTTTCTCATAGGAGCTTGAAAGTTGGGTATTCTACTTATACACTCGACTGCTCTGTGTAATTTCTGTATTTGTCACTGCTTCTGATAAAGCCAAAATAATTACAGACATTGCAGGGTCCAGTGTGAGAAATTCCACTGAGGAGAATGCAAGTGGATGAGAAAATATTTCCGTGAAGTCTTTAGTAGTGGGTTCTTTAAACAATAAACATCTAGAATTCCAGAGTGAGATAAACGGGGTGAAAGCTATACATTTCATTTTTGCTTGATAGACTATGAGAAGAAAAAAGGTCATCTTCTATATAAGCTACACAGCCTCCTGGAGTCATTGTTGGTTACTGTTTGATTTTTTTCTTTAGGTTATTTAGAATTTGCACTCAACCACCATCGCCACCATCATCTTTCCCTTTCATTGCCTCCTCTCCAGCCCTCTAGACCATTCCTGCATTGGTTTAGAAAGGCAAATAGCCTTGACGTTTTGATGAAATGTTTGTCATGGATCTAACCTGTGTTTGGTGATAAATGCCTTATATCTGTTGAGACTTCCCAAAGACTCGATAAACTCCATTATGTCTGACCTTAAAGTATTGAACTTGGAATTTAGTGACTCAAGATATCATAGATAACTTGAGAATTTAAGACATATTTTCTTAGTTTCTCTCCTGCCTTTTCCTTCTCTAGCAAGGCAGCAGACTAGTTCCAGTGATTGTCTTTTGGTAAAATCCATTTTGTGCCTTATGTTATTTCATCGTTCTTATTTTATTTCATTTTAGGTTCAGGGGCAGCCATTAATGGTGCAGGTCAGTGGAGGCCAGTTAATCACGTCAACTGGCCAACCCATTATGGTCCAGGCTGTTCCTGGTGGACAAGGTCAAACCATCATGCAAGTACCTGTATCTGGAACACAGGGTTTGCAGCAGGTAAGTGGTATTTAAAAAATAAATATATCAGTATATCAGAGTGGAAGTTTCAAAGATGAGGTTGTGATAACTGTTTGATAATTTGATGTTTACTTGAATTGCTTCCTAACCCCCATTTTGCATTTAGTCTATTTTTCACCTTTATAGTATCAGTGATATAAACTAGAACTATGCAGAAATTGGACATCTCTACTAAAGACTGATATATTAGGCATGATCTTGAATTGCTTTAAAGGATATAAAAAGATGAGAATTTAATTTATAAAGTAAATCATTGGTGTGACATATGCTGGCATTCCTGGGAGATAGGAGAGGGAACTTAACAGTCTACTTTAGAAATTGCTGTTTTTGGTCAGAAATGTTATTTGAGTTATCTAGCAAGTAAAAAGAAAAATTTTCTGTTCAAACCCTTTGTATACATACCTAAAGCAGTACTTGAGCAAACGGTATAATCTTAAATACTTTATTTTAAAAGAAATGAAAAGGAACGGTATTTCTCTTAGGAAGTTAGGAAAAGAACGAAATGAGCAAAAAGTCAAAATATTTAAGTAGAAAATAACAAAATGTAGAAATAAAAGCTAGATTCTTCAAACAGACCAATAAGATAGGTAAATCCACTTTAAAGACTGATTAAATACCACTTAACCCCTATAAAAATGGATAAATTAATAAAACAAACAACATACTGATGAGGATGCGGAGAAAAGGGAACACTTCACTGCTGGTGAGAATGCAAACTAGTGCAACCTCTTTGGAAAACTGTGGCAATTTCTAAAAGAATTAGATATTGATTGACCTTCCATATGACCCGGCAATACCCGGAGGAATTCAAATAATTCTACAAAAAAGATACCTACACATGCATGTTTATTGTAGCACTATTCACAGTAGCAAAAACATGTAACCAACCATGCTGCCCACCAAAACTGGACTGGATAAAAAAAAATATGGTACATATACACAATGGAATATTACACAGCCATAAAAAAGGACAAACATGGACTTCACAACAACTTGAATGGATATAGAGTCTATCATAGGGGTGATCTGTCACAGAAACAAAGAACAGAGTATCATATGTTCTCACTCATAAGAGGACCCTGAACATTTACTGTAATAAGAAAGGGATTGGCAGTAGCAGGATATTGCCAGGGGAGTGGGAAAGGAGGGAACGGTACAGAACATCACTAAGGGTACTTGATCTCAAACCAGGCAGAGTGGGGACCAAAGGGATGCCCAAACTTTACCTGTACGATGACCACTTGTGTACCTAATCCTGAATTTTACCCCACATCTTTAAAATAAAAAATTTCTTAAAATAAAATTTAATTTAAAAAATTAAGACTGCTTGAGAAACAGAAAACAAAAGTAAACAAGACAAAGCTGTATGTAGAAGAAATTAAAAGAAACATGCAGACTGGACACAGTGGCTCACATCTATAATCCCAGCTCTTTGAGAGGCTGAGGCAGGAGGATCACTTGAGGCCAGGAGCTTAGGGCCAGCCTGAGCAACACAACAAGACCCCCATCTCTAAATATAATAATAATAATAATAGAAATAAAGTTATTTTGAAAAATCATCTCATCTCCTAAATACATGAACTATTTGAACAATAAATCCCACTTCTGCGAACCTATCATATAGGAAGAAAAGCATCAAATGTAGGGAGAAATAACAAAGACATTTATCACAGCATTATAACAAATATTTTATACAATTTTAGATTAAGATCCCTGGCCTATCGGGCTCAGTGGCTCAGCCTGTAATCCCGCGCCTTGGGAGGCTGAGGTGAGTGGATTGCCTGAGCCTGCGGGTTTGAGACCCGCCTGGCCAACTTGCGAGACCTCATCTCTACAATAAATCAAAAAAATTAGCCGGGCGTGGTAGTG